AAAAATTATAAACATTACTAGAAAATAGTAGATCAGAAATATAATTCTGGTTGCGAGCGATGCAGAAATATATTAAGGAGCCGAATGAAAAACAAGATAACCCAAATACAATCATTTTGTATAATTTGAATTAAACATGCCTGCAACAGATCCGAAGAATCCACCTAGTGTTCCCCAAGGTTGGCTAGCTAAATATGACGATAAATATAAGGTTTTTTTCTACATTGATTTAAGGACCAAGAAGTCGCAATGGGAGGCACCTGCTGGTACATCTTTTGAGAAGTCTGCTCATGAGGTGCTGCCACCTCCCTACAGTCCTCATGAATCCAATTCTCCTCAGCCACCAATTCTGAATCAAACTAGGCCTAACCCTCAACAACAAGTTCCTTTCCAAGGATACGGACAGTCTCCACAGCAGTACGTGCAACAACTGCCGCAAAACCCACACATGAGTGGTATGGGTCTTGGTGGTGGCTTACTAGGCGGTATGCTTATAGGAAACATGATGAGAACAAGACGTCGGACCAGTTGTCCGCCCAGACGTCGTCGGAGATGCTAGTATTAAGGGTTCTTGCGTATATGTTTTTTTTTTCTTTATTCTTCCCATGGAATGGGCCTTTCTAATTTTCCTTCTTAATGCTAGCGGTATTGATATTGTATCTACAATACCGCCTCTAATGGCTACTTGGTCTGGTCTTCACCATGCTAACCATAGTACAGTTAACGTAGTAAACATATATTTCACAACCAATACACGTGATATATATGGTCCAGATTACGTAATCTGGTTTCTTGAAAAAATTCAACCAACCAAACTCTGAGAATTAATTATTAGTACTTCATACCTTAGGTGATTTAAAATACTTCAAATCGAAATACAAACACTATAGACTGCAATGAGATTTACCAGGGTATTGAGACAAGCGGAGGAAGTTTTAGTTAAGGCTGCAAGCGGTAACCCAACTGGTTTGACTGGTATTTACCAACATCCAAATCCAAGACCTGCATTAATCGCCTTATACAACCATACCTTAACTGTTTTAGATAAGAAATTCCCAAAGGAATCTGTTTACAAACAATCGATTGAAGCTTTAACTAAGAACAGATTAAAGATTGTCCAAGAAGAAGAGATTACAGAAAATATTGAAAATAAAATTGGAGGAGGTTTGATTGAAGAAATTATTATACAAGCACACGAAGAATTGGGTTTAGCCAATGAATTGAGTCTGTTGAAATGTTGGGAAGAATTAGAGGAAAAGCCATTAGATGATCAATGGGTTTACTTTGGTAAGAAGATCTAATTGAGATTTAGAGAATTGTAGAATAATAAGAATCAACAAAAGCGGAAAGCACATCCATCAACCTAGCATTACAGTTTATACTTTGGACTAAATTTTTCTTCATAGTGGTATGTATTTCTAGTTTCATTTATATTTAACGTATAGCAAATATAACAGTAATAATAAGGAAGTATGTAGTAGATATGCTTATTACGAACAATAAGAGGCTACAATTACGCAACAGCGTTATAGATCCCAATATTCAATTAATAAAGCTATAGTCATATTTAACGACATCTACGTGGATTGAATAACTTATATTCAAACCACTGAAAACAAGAATGACCAGGAAGTTCATAGTGGAAATACATGAATATAAACAAACAAAACTAAAACTCAGTGTCAAAAACATCATTTATTAAAGATAATTAACAGCAGTTAGATTTGAATGTATTAGGGGTTTGTGAAACATCAACTCCACCGCCAGATGTAGCAGTTTGGGCTCCTTCGGCATTGACGTGTTTTTCTTGGATAATACCTGCTAATTCGTAGAAAATTGGATCCACGTTTTCATTACTCTTTGCACTAGCTTCTAAGAATGGGATGTTTAATCTTGATGCCAATTCTTGGCCTTGTTCCTTTGAAATTTGTCTATTTTCTTCATCATCACACTTATTACCAACTAAAAATATCTGCGCATCTTCATTGGCATGTTGAGTCACAGTTTGGTACCAATTTTCAACATTTTCAAATGTCCTGGAATCAGTGACATCATATATCAATACAATACCCATGGCACCTCTGTAGTATGCCGTAGTAATAGTTCTAAAACGTTCTTGACCCGCGGTATCCCAAACCTGTAACTTGATCTTTTTACCATTACTTTCAATGGTTCTGATCTTAAAATCAATACCGATGGTAGTAATGAATGATGGATTGAACTTATCCTCAACGAATCTTAACAATAAACACGATTTGCCAACTCCTGAATCTCCGACTAACAATAACTTCATGATCATATCGTATGATCTAGATGGGGCTCTACCACTCATGCTGTACTTTCTATTTTATATTATTTAAGTATACTGGTTTTGTAACCTAAGATAACTAAGATATAGCTAATAGATGATTTATAGTAATGAATATAACTTCTTATCAACTATGCTGGAATGCTATACGATCCAAATGAGAATGGCAAGCTCATAGAATTTATTATCAAAGCCGATGAAAGTAGTGCGCAGACAGAAATAATGTCTATTGTACGATCAGGTTTGGTGTCAAACTATATTAACTCTAAACTAACAATATAAAGGGAATGATCACATGTAGACCAGCAGAACTCTGGTAAAAATGGTTCTAATTATACAGACATTTACAAGAATACTTCAGCATTGATTTCAACAGATGAAGCGGCGTATGGAATTTCAAAATTTCCCATAACTTCTGGATGCAAGACACCAATAGCACCAATATGTTGTTCCTTGGAACCATCACCAGCTCTGAAGAAAACCTTAGCACCTCTTCCAGGGAAGAAAGTTGGATTTTCATCATCTTGCTCGATCCAGTAACCTCTTTCAGTGGACTCCTTTGGGTTTTCTAACCAAGAAGTTCTCATGGTTTGCATGATTTTACCTAATAAACCTTGGACAAATTCGAAACCAGAAGTCTTACCAGCGTAAATAGCACACCAATTACGTTGATTGAAAGCACCTCTTTCTAACTCAGGATTCTTCAAAACAATATCACCAGCTTCAAAGACTTTGATTGGTAAAGAGTGCTTTCTGTTTTCCTTAACAGTCTTCAAAAGACCAGGCACTAAGGTGGTTCTAACGACTTGGTACTCGACTGTCTTTGGATTTTCTAATTTGACAGCAGTAGTGTTATCATCTTTAGTTCTTAAAAACTTGAAGTTTTCATCGTGCGAACATAAGGTTAAAGGCAATACTTCCAAATAACCAGCTTGAGCACTGGCGATTCTTAATATGTCACCAACCTTGTTCACTGGTAATGGAGCGGCAACGAAAGATTCACCCTTAGCCTTGGTCTTAGCTAAATTATTGTAACCATAAGCAATAGCTGCGTCTTCCATAATATCACATTGATGCAAAATGTCAGGTCTAGTTATAGGAATTCCAATATCAAGCAAGTCTTTCTTTGAAGAAGGTTTAGCTTGTAATGACATTCTCTTTAACAAGTCAGAGATTTCTTGGCCACTTAAATCTAAACCTACACAAGAATTGATATATGGAATTTCAGCTTCAAAAGGTCTTACTGAGATATTTGGTGTTATACGGTCTTGTTTGTTATGCTCAGATTTTATTTCAATTGGTTCTATTTCGAATGGTACCTTACAGTAACCTGCAAACATGGCAACCAATTGATTAATGACGATTTCAGTCTTGGTTTTATCAGTACCAGTGACGTCAATGAAAATATTTCTTGTTTGAGCAGAAATTTTGGAATGATTAGAATTGATGATAGGTGGTAATGAACAAACAGTTCTGTTGGCATCAAAGATGACAGGATATACTGGTGAGTCTTTAATGATATGTAAGTATTTTCCTACATGCTTATCCTTTTCGTAGAATTCCATCAATTGATTTCCATCCATTTCTTTCTCTTGGTTTAATGGAATGAACTTGATTTCTGAGGGTGGTAAGGCTTCGTATGTGAATGGAGGGGTAAGAGTGTCCAAATCATGGGTACCTATAGCCACCAAAGTCCTATTACGACATAAGTTGGTATGTAATTTGTCTTGTAAAGCAAGGAATGAATCATAACGTCTCTCATCAAGTTGAACATTTCTCAAAATGGCAGAGGCTGCGTATGGACGGATCTGCTCGGTAGACTTGTGGATAGTTAAAGAAATTTCTGGCTTTGATGGGTTTAATTTAAAGTCTGGAGACAGTTTCTTACCTAAGAACTCGTTTAAAGCTTGAGCAATACCTTCGATACATAACATATCATATCTATTTGCTGGAACTTCAATCTTGAATTGTGGTCTTTCATCACCCTTACATTCTTCAGTAGTATCCTCATCTAATTCAATACCGAATTCGAAACATAATTCGTCGAATTCTTCAGTAGTGTATGATCTACCTAGTAAATCAAAAAGATCTTCTTTATCAACTGGAATAGTAGGCATTTTATCTGAACCTGGTTGTGTAGCTACTAGTTATAATTCACAACTTTTCATCGTGAGTCAAGATATAATTTTTTAATTTTCGCCGTATACATACTCGTAAATACTGCGGATAAATTTTATAGCGTAAATAAGAGTATTGATTCAATATAAACCATAATATATATATATATAATGCAATTACTATAAGTTAATCCTTCGTACCCGAGTCGACGTCTTTTTTCACTCCAAACTTATTGGCCAAAGAACTTACTACACTTGTCGACTTTTCTTCTTCTTCAATTTCTTCATTGAGCTTCGTAGGCTTTACAGAAGTATCAACTTCCTTCCTCAATGATTCCAAGATCTTTGGATCTTCTTCTGCAAGACGTTCGACATTGTTTGCCTCTTCAAGCAAGGCAGTAACATCAAAAATTGGATTATTGGTTTGAGTGTCAGGCTGATTCAGTTCTTCGGACGGATCGGTATATGGTTCACTCTTTTCTGTACCTTTAGACTTACCTTCACCGTATACATTCCACCAATCCTTTTGGTTCGGCCTGAAGAAATTTTTCCAAGTTTTCTTCTTGCTTTCTTCTGTATCCATTTCTTCCTTCATCTTTGCTCGTGCTTCATCGAACTCATCGATCAACTTCCTTTGTCTTTCCTTTTGTTCAGGGTCGGGTTCTTCAATTTCGGCGAACTCTTCGCTCAAAATTTCCCAATTAATTGCTTTCAAAATCTTAGGGATAGCTTTTCTATAAGCCATATGTCCTTCCACGATATCAGTACAATCAATGTTCTCTATTCCGTATACGCTCTCTATTGGAGATAAGCCTGCAACTGACAGAATACCTCCTCCAGTAGCTCTAAATAAATACCCTAGAATCCAATCTCTTTTTGAAAATCCGTTAACAAACCTTCCACTAACGACAGACCTAGCTAGTCCAAGTTGATCATTCTTAATTGCAATTGGACAACCTAATATAATGACATTTTCAATCAAGCCGTATCCACCACGTTTGGCTAACTCTATTAAGCATGAATAAATTAAACGTGCACCTAATGAAAACCCTACTAAAGTTATAGGTCTGACACCCATATTACCGGATATCAAAGTATCTGCTAATATTTTTCCACCCTTCCAAGCCCTATCCAAGGACACATTCCAGGGGTTATCAAGTAAGTATGTCAATTTTGATAAAGCCATGGGGACTTGGATCGCAGCCATTAATGTTGATAAAATCGTCGCTCCAAGAATTTGTTGGATGGAAGTACTCAAAGCTTCACTAGCTAATATACCAATAGTTTGGCCCATAGACTGTAACATTTCTGGCTCCCAAAGAAGAGAGAACATATCACCCATAACAGGATCAACTGTCGAGAACGGCAACCTTACATCATCCATTTTACCATTCATCCACCCACTGACTGTAATAATCAAATTTGTTCTCTTTGTATTGTATAAGGGTTTTAGTTCAAACGTATGAACATCACCCAATCTTCTTGCACCTGCTTTTGACCCAACCTTGGCCCCCGTTAGAACTCCTCCAGTGGTGATAATAGCACTACCACCAACTCCTGCTAAGAAACCGCTAGTACCTGTAATGCCAACTGTTGTTAATCCTGTTGCAATACCCATCCCAATAACTGGTGCCAATAATCCGGCTGAGAGACCAATTGCAAGAGATCCACCTAAAGTGGCAAGGCCAATATAAGCATATCTCTTTTTCTTGTTTTTCTTTATGTACTTTTCTATGAATTGTCTATCATTCAATTTCTCATCCTTATTTTCAATTGATTTACTATTTGTATCCATTTCCAAACTTTCAATCAAACGACGTTCAAATTGAAGGATTTCTAAATGTGATATACCCATTTTTTCAGCAAACATAACCAATAATGAACGCGATCTACTATCATAATAGCCATCACTTAACAACAAAAGTAATAAGTCACATATAATTGTCCATCTTAGATCAACAGTCACTTCAGTATTGTCACATATTTCAGTTTTTACATTATTTGAATCATCAATCTCGCGTTCTTGAGTTTGCTTTTGCTGTGAAGTAGATTTAATGGTTTCTGTTTGGTTTAGGCTATTGCATAAATCAGCAACTTCAACACCATGCTTGCTTAGATTCTCAATCATGTCTTGTTCATCCTTACTTAAATTCATATGCTCATATAGTTTGGACATTATATACATCGTCCAGTTTGCAAAGTTACGCTGGCCTAAACTTAATTCTTTTGCTACCCTGTTAGACGTTGATTGTTTAATTTTCGCTAACTCAGTAGCCATATCGACCGCTATTAATTTAGTAGTACCAACATATGCAAATTTTTGGCCATCTGTCAACATATTTCTCATTGTTTGTAAGGTTTCATTCGAGTCTAAATTATCATCATCCTCATATTCAGAATTTTCTTCGTCAGATGCATATTCCAAGTCTTCTTTAAGATATGCCGCTGCTTCTGTATTTTTATTTATCTCTCTCCTATTTTGAAACAAAAAATCAGTCTTCTTATCGAGCTCTGCATATTTGGCAACCTGTTCTTCTGTATCGATCTTCGTGTACCCACGAGCATCAAATTTGACCTTTGACGGATCAAATTCACTCGCATGTTCGTACTCGAGTTCCCCTTTGTCATTATAATAGTCTATCTCTGTAATTGTTTTCATTGATTTCCAATCAGACGTTTTCATATCAAAGAAGTCATTCTCAGAATCCTCAGCCTTCTTTCCAACCTCATCTACCTTATCTTTGTCAGTTTCGAAAGCACCATTATCAAGTATATTTATATTGGGCGATATTATCTTCTCTGAAACAAAATTAGAATCATTCGTGCTGTTCTTCTGGTCAACTGACAGCAAGTCAAATTCCACATAGCTGTTCTCTGGGGTTGCCTCACGCTCAAGTCTTTCATCTATATTAGGGCGGTTATGAGTTTCTTCTTCAATGCTCTCATTCGAGACGTTTGCAGGCAAACTGGGCAATACTGAGATGCTTGTTCTTGATCCGATATTTGATCTTGATCGTGTTGGGGTGTTGGAGCTGTACACTGAATGGGCAGTTCCTAGTGAATCAGCACTCGGCGTTCGTTTAAAATCCATCGCTTTTTCTAAAATAGATAATGAAATGCAATGTACTCTAATATAGATGCTGATATCATTTAATATATATGAAATATCAATTTAAAGAAGGAATGGTATCTTCGTTAAAAGTAGAGGCTGATGAGTAGCTGATATCGCTATGCAATCACATGACTTGGGATTGGTAAATATTCCGGCACTAGAATAGATAGATGTATACATTAAACCTACAGGAACAGTAAAGATCCCTGGAGTACACAGACCCTTGTCCAAGTGAAGTGCTTGAACTTTAGTGACTACATTTGTCCAAATTCCAGGTATATTGAGCTTATTCCAAAGAAGGCACATGAAGACTCGGAATTAACATACAAGGTTAAACAAGTTATAATGTTTGATATTGCCCCAGCAGTTGGTTTCTACAATCGAAATAAACATAATGTAAATATGTTTGCAACATGGTTTTACTCAAAGCGCCCATTAGCCAAATGACCGTTCGCAGAGTCCAGGAATATGTTGCTACGAGCCAAGTGGCCGAGCAACAACCACTGATATGGCCACCTCCGAAGAAGTGGTCAGAGATCAGTGTGAGCTCAAGGCCGACCCGCCTGCTATACAACCCGTCGACGGAGCTGCTCTGTTCCATAACTCCTAAAAGCTTCGCCAAAATGCAACACTCCATATTCTCAGTTCCCTAACACCTAGTCTGCTGAAAACTATCGCTCAACCCCCGAAGGAGGACCAACAGCCACCTCAAACGTTAAAACGGCATTAGGGAATGTTAACCACGAAGATTAACTAGAAAATACAAAGGTACAATTTGAACTTTAAAACTTGCTTCTCGAGCGCCGAACTGCTACGGAAAACGACTACAGTTATACAAAGATAACCCGAAGATTTAATCCTTGCATTATACTGAGTGCCCACCGTAACACAGGTTGATGAATTAGTTAAAGAAAGAAACTAAAATGAAAAATCTTCGAAAATCTCACTTCTTTTTATACTCGCATACTACAATTTTTTTCGGAATACAAGCCGCACAACAGATGAGACTTACCCGCAAGTCAATCTAGTATATCCATACAATAGGGCTTTTTAACAACCTTTAAACATTTTTAAGGCATACACCGGGTATATAGGATTGTCTTTGAAGAATGAGTAGAAGAATAGCTAGATCACAAGCCAGGAAGCTTGAAGAGGCCGAAGAAAGAGAAGAAGAGGAAACAAAAGATGTTGAAAGTCGCTCAGATGCGATGCCATTTCAATCCAAATATTCTATGGAACCATCTAAAATTATAGATTTGTTTGAAACCTCGTTTAAAAACATTCTTGATTCGGAAGATTTGCAACAGCATATTCAAAATGTGAAAGGAGACTTGTACAATAGAGATTATATGTCAGCATTTGGCAATGACGATAAAAGATTTGCGTACGCATCTCGATGGACTCCTGCGAGGGCTTTGTCGTATGCATCGTTATTTGGGACATTACAGCCTATAAGACAGTTGTTAGAATGCCCAGAAGGTGATAAAAGGGTTTTGTGTGTAGGTGGTGGTGCTGCGTCAGAATTGGTTGGATTGGCAGCTGTTTTTTGTAGGTTGAAAGAATATTGTTCAACCTCAAACTCATCCTTGACGTTGGATATTATTGATATTGCAGATTGGTCAGCAATTGTAGGAAGATTAACCAACTATGTTAAGGAGAATTGGATATATAATGCTGCAGGATTCAATACAAACTTCATACACGATGACATTTTGACTGCAAATGTAGCAGAATTAGATTATCCAAAGTTAGATTTAATCACATTGCTATTCACAACCAATGAGCTTTTCTGTGAAAAAAGGGCACAAACCGTAAAATTTTTACAGTCTTTGAATACCCATTGTCAGAAGGGATGCTACTTGTTGATTGCCGAAAGTGCTGGGTCGTACTCCAACATAACCATAGGGACAAAAAAATTTCCAGTTCAATTCTTAATTGACATGATTCTTATAGGTAAGCCAGGTGAGAATAATGGTAGCTGGGAAATAGTACAACAAAGTGAAAGTTGTTGGTATAGAGTAAACAAAAAAGAAATAGATTATACGATGAAGTTGGAAAATATGAGATTTTTCTATAGACTATACAAGAAGAAATAGTCCGAACCATACACTTGATTAACTTAGCATTTATTTTCTGACAATCCATATTCCTTTAATAATCCGCCAAAAAGCATGTTCTGCTGCTATCAACATATATCTTGCATTTTATAACAAACGTAGCGCTACCTGGTAATATTTGACATAGACGCGTTAATATCGTTAATATAATTCAATCAGTCGATAAAGTCATACTGGGCTTCGTGACTCTTTACTGTCTATTATGTTCTTATTTTAATATCTTATTAGATCTTTAACTTCGAAATATCATTTTCAAGGTTATCGGTATCACCATTTGACTTGGCCTCCTTTGATTTTCTTTCCGGGTCCAATTTTTCTGGCTTCTTAGTATCCTTTTCTGCTTCTGCGTCCCTTATTTCTTCAGCTAACTTTTCTGACGCCTTGGTTAAGGAGTTCTTAGAAGTTTCTTTATCATCCCGCTTATCATCAATAGAATATGTATTCTCAAATAAAACCTTATTTTTATCTATCAATTCATCTAACTCTTCACTCCAGCCTAACAATTCTGCCAAGATGACTGCTGCTTCGTCACAATCAGAAATAGCTAAAACATCGGTCTTCCGTTTACCATGTTTAAAATCACCAACTACTTCATTATTAATAAGCAACCTAAGCGACTTGCTTGTAACTTCTGCCGGTAATGAAGCAAACGGATATACTGTCAATGATGTACCAGCCACTATGGCAATTTCAACCTCATCTGCATCTTCATCCCAGGTATCAAAAAACTTCACAGGCAATGCTTCTCCAAAAAAAACTATATCAGGTTTTACATAACCGCCACATTCGTTGCATGTTGGAATTCCATCGTTAACCAGTTTATCAGACATTTGTTTTTTAAACTCTTCTGTTGACATTTCTAACGAGCATTCAATACAATGATTTCTGGCGAAAGAACCATGGGCTTCCACTATATATTCATCTTCAATACCTGCAACTCTTTCTAATGTATCAATATTCTGTGTATAAACTCTCTTTAACAACTTCTTCTCCTGGAAAAGTCTTAGTAAGTAATGAAACTTTGTAGGCATAAACTTTCCGGGATAAAGCCCATGAGCTAATGTATAAAATGCCTTGGGATTTTCTTTGAAATAATCAATATCAAAGACAGCTTCAGCATATGGTAAGTCTAGCTTAGCCAAATTGGAGTATAGCCCAGTATCTGGACTTCTAAAATCTGGTATACCTGCCGCTGTGGAGATTCCAGCCCCTTCAAAAAACGTCACCTTTTTATCACCAGACTGTATTGCCTTGACTATGGGTCCCAATATCTTCGCTATTTGGGTCATTGGCTTACGATGTATCACTAGGACTTTCTACCTGCTTTAGATGTTATCTAAATTAATCAAATCGATGTAATGTCTTCTTTGGAAGGTTTATCAATGCCTCACGTGAAATTCATGAAATGGCGGCAACTAGGTCGAGTTGAAAAATGGTGTACTATGTGAAATAGCTTACTGCTTTAATCCTTTAAACACATTGCAGAACTCCAAAAATGAAGGTATGTTGCTCTATTTTAAATGCAATTATGGAACTAAATACTAACATTGTATCAGCAAAGAATTACAGGTTTGGATCTTCAAATAATAACTGCGGAGCTCTCGAAAGAGATTTTGAACTATCGTTTGCAAAATATTTACAATGTAGCTAGTTCGTCTCGTCAATTTTTACTCAAATTCTCCATTCCAGATTCCAAAAAAGTGGTGGTCTTGGATTGTGGAAATAAGCTCCATTTAACGGAATTTGACCGACCAACTACCCAAACGCCATCCAACTTCGTCACCAAATTGAGAAAGCATTTGAAGACTAGGCGCTTATCCCAAATTAAGCAAATTGGTAACGATAGGGTCTTGGTATTTGAATTCAGCGATGGTTTATTCTACTTAGTTTTAGAATTCTTCAGTGCCGGTAATATATTATTGTTAGATCAAGATAGAAAGATTTTGTCTTTACAGAGGATGGTGAGTGATAAAGGTGGCAACGATAGATACGCAGTTAATGAGATTTACAAGATGTTCGATGATTCATTGTTCAAATCAGATTTTAATTATGAACGCAAGTTGTATTCAAAAGAACAAGTTCAAGAGTGGATAAAATCACAAAGGGATAAATTAGAGCAGAGGAATCAAGATGGCAAGAAGAAAAATAAAGTTTTTTCCATCCATAAATTATTATTTGTTAATTCTAGTCATCTCTCTAGTGACTTAGTTCTACTCAATTTACTAAAGAAAGGCATACAGTCTTCGGCAAGTTGTTTTGAGTTTGAAAATGATGATGCAAAGTTGGATTTAATTATTAAAGCATTAGACGAAGCTGAAAGTGACTACATTAATTTATTGGAGAAATCAGAAGATGGAATTACAGGATATATTGTCAGTAAAAAGAATCTTCTGTATAATCCTGATAATGAAGATTCCACAAATGATTTAGAATATATCATGGATGAATTTTATCCATATAAGCCTTATAAATCTGATCTGGATAATTATAAATTTACAGAAATACAGGGTTATAATAAAACTATGGATTCCTTTTTTTCAACTATTGAGTCTACTAAATATGCATTAAGAATTGATCAACAGAAACAACAAGCAACAAAAAGATTAGACCATGCTCGTGATGAAAGAGATAAACAAATTCAATCTTTGCTTGCACAGCAACAACTGAATATAAAAAAAGGAGATACAATAATGTACTATGCTGATTTAGTAGATCAGTGTAAGGAATCAGTTGTGAAATTAATTGATCAGCAAATGGATTGGACCAATATTGAAAGTCTTATTGAATTAGAACAATCAAGAGGTAATGCAATTGCTAAGATGATTAACTTGCCTTTGAATTTGAAGGAGAACAAAATCAACTTGCATCTTCCAGACATGGATGAAGAAAACGAAGCATCGAGCGCATCTGATTCCAATTCTGATTCTGATTCTGATAGCTCTAGTGATGAATCTGAGCTGGATTCTGATTCTGATTCTGACTCTGATTCTGATTCTGATTCTGATTCTAAGGCAACCCCAGCAGCAAAGTCTAAAGTAAAGAAGGTAAAAAGCAGAGACAAACCCAAAAAATCCAAAGTCTCTGTTTGGATTGATATTTCATTATCTCCTTTTGCAAATGCAAGACTGTACTTTGAAAGCAAGAAGTCAGCGGAGAGTAAGCAAATTAAAGTTGAAAAGAGTACTGAATTTGCATTAAAGAACGCGAAAAGGAAGATTGAACAAGATTTAAACAATAAGTTGAAAAACGAAAATGATTCTTTGAAACATATCAGACCGAAGTATTGGTTCGAGAAATTTTTATGGTTTGTATCAAGTGAAGGATATTTGTGTTTGGCTGGTAGAGATAATTCTCAAGTTGATATGATATATTATAGACATTTTAATGATAATGATTATTTCGTATCATCGGATATTGAAGGCTCTTTAAAAGTGTTCATCAAAAATCCTTTCAAAGGCGAGGGTATTCCACCTTCTACATTAATGCAAGCAGGAATATTTGCCATCTCTGCTTCTTCTGCGTGGAATGGTAAAGTTACAACGTCTGCTTGGTTATTGCATGGTACTGAAATCTCTAAGAAAGATTTCGATGGTAGTCTAGTATCATCCGGAAACTTTAATTACAAGGCTAAGAAGACTTACCTTCCACCATGCCAACTCGTTATGGGATTTGGGTTCTATTGGTTAGGTGATGAAGAATCGACTAAAAAGTATAGAGAAGCTAGGAATTCGAGAGAACAAGAACACGGTTTGAAAATTGTAATGGATAACAAAAAGCAGGATCTCGAACAATCTTCAAAATCTCTGAATAATATTCAATCTAATTCCAGCGAAGTGAATAAGGAGGAAAATATTTTGACTAAAGAAGATTCCGAACCTTCTAAAGAAGAAACCACGATTAAACCAGCTTCAGAATCTAAAGAGGGTAAAAAGAGATTGAGTGCTAAAGAAAGGAAAATTTTACGTAAAGGCAAAGACCTTAAAGCGTCTGAAAATGACGATACCGAAGAGGAGGTTTTTGATCCGATCGAACAAGAAATGAAGAACTTGAAGCTTGAAGAAACAAAAAAGAAGACAGCGGAGCCATCCTCTCAAAAGCCACCTAACGTGAGAGGTAAAAATCAAAGATGAAGAAAATTGCAGCCAAGTATGCTGATCAAGATGAAGAAGAAAGAAGAATTAGAATGGAAGCATTAGGAACGTTGAAACAAGTCGAGGCAGAAAAGCAGAAACAAATTGATGAAGACAAGAATAAGGAACTGAAAAATAAATATACCAACGAAGCTTTGAATGCTGAGAGACGTAAAAATCAAGAAGAAAGAGAGTATAGAAAATACATTATGGAGGAGACAAATGAAGATGAATCAAGTATTGTTAACTACTTGGAAATTCTTGATTCTTTCATATCTAAGCCACAGGCAGATGATTGTTTAGTAAATCTTGTTCCGGTTTTTGCGCCATGGTCTTCCTTGACTAAATTCAAGTATAAGGTTAAAATTCAGCCTGGAAGTGGAAAGAAAGGGAAGTGCATTAACGATACATTGAATTATTTCGCAAATCGTAAAATGGACCCTTCTCATACTGATACTGATTTAGACTGGGAAAATGAAAGAGATATTTTAAAAGGTACCAAGCCTAATGATCTAATGGGTGTATTTACGGTTAGTAAGGTTAAGTTGATGTTACCTGGTGGACAAGATAAGGCTGCTAAAAACGCTCCTGCAAAAAGAGGTAAGAGATAAACGTGCTAATTAAATCAAAACCAGGTTACTGTATATATCTTAAATAGCAAACTAATCATCATCATTACTCAAAGTTCATGGCCTTCCGTAATATTTACTAGTTAATTTATGGGTTTCAATACGATCCATATACAAACGACTACAAGAAAAATTGAAATGCAACAATATACGTGTGCGTCGTTTATCCCCGTGGGTTATTGATAGTACACATTAGCTATTATAATATGCGACGTTGCGAGAGAACAATCCTAACAAGGGGTAGCAAAGTACACTATTGATAGGGCTCATATCAACTTTTCTAGTAGATACAACAGCTTGCAGTTAAAAGATGTCACTAATAAAACAAATTTGGTAATAGCATATATCAAAACTGTTCCTTTTGTAAATAAGCCTACCACATGGCATTCGAAAAATCAATGTTCCATATTCTTGTAGTGTGACTATATATATATATATAGTAATCTATTTCCACATTCATGAAATTCTTAAGGTTAACTCAAATATAAAATATACAATGGTTTCAATTTCTAAAATTGTCTCGTCAAGCTTAATATTTGCCGCAAATGATCAATTTAGAGATGTCGGTTCCACTGATTTGGCTGCTAAGTCACAATACAACATTGTTAAATATTTGTATGGTAATGGTCCATATATGCAAAACCCAGGGTTTGGGATTTCTACAGATTTGCCTGATCAATGTACATTAGAACAAGTGCAGGTTTACATGAGACATGGAGAGAGATACCCTGGTATTTCAGATGGTGAAAAGCAGAAGGCATTGGTTGATAAATTGCAATCTTATAATTCGTCTCTTTCTGGTCCTTTGTCATTCTTAAATGAGTATGAATATTATGTCCAAGACGATTCGTTGTACGAGTTAGAAACGACGCCTTCTAATGCAAAGGGTCCTTATACTGGATACGAAACTTGTAACAAGGCAGGACTGGCATTTAGAGCAAAATATAATGTCTTGTACAATGAAAATGAAACATTACCTGTTTTTATCGCTGCATCTAAAAGGGTTTATGATCTGGCTGATTTTTTCGTAAATGGATTTCTTGGAGAAGACTACGATGAAGAGAAAGTGAAGAAAGTCGTTATCTCTGAGGAAAAGTCTTCCGGTTTCAATTCATTGACTCCACGTTGGGCCTGTCCACTGTTTTATAAACCAAACTCTACGGCACCAACATTTAAGAAAGATTATCTTGATGATATTGCTAACAGATTGAAAGAAAATAATGATGGCTTAAACCTCACCAGCTCGGATATTCCATATTTATTCCAATTATGTGCCTTCGAACTCAATTCGAAAGGATATTCTCAATTTTGTGATATTTTTACACAAGATGAATTAGTTACTAATGATTATGCTCAAGGGTTTAATTCTTACAATTCTGCTGGCGCAGGTAGCGAAACTAGTAAGATAGCTGGATCTGTTCAATTAAACGCAAGTTTAGCTCTTTTAAAAGAAGACAATCCAAAGAATAAGATTGTGTTATCATTTACCCATGACACTGATATTCAATTGTTTTACGCTAGTTTAGGACTTTTTGATGTCCCTGGCGATATGCCCTCAGATAAAGTTGATGTCAGAAACGCTTTCCGTCGTAGTGAGGTTGTTCCAATGGGTGGAAGATTAATCACTGAGAAATATCAATACGATGGAAAGTCTTATGTTAGATTTATTGCCAACGATGCCGTCATTCCACTCCAAAACTGCTCATCTGGTCCGGGTTTTTCATGTAGCTTGAGTGATTTTGAGGATATAGTCAAGGAGAAGATATCCTTCAATCTATTAGAAGAATGTAACACGCCTGATGATATTCCTCATGCATTGACATTTTATTGGGATTATGATGAAAAGGATTACAATGCCACTGCTCCGAGAGTTACCGCATAAATTGTCTTTATAGGCGTATAGATTATTTGCAATTTAAATTTTTATAGAAATTTACTTGAAAGTTATTGGTAGTTTAAACAATTCAATAAACGTGGTAGTTTCTCTTACGGTTTCACTGTTATTTATATCTAACTAAGCTGTCGAAAACAATAGTGATAATCTAGCATCTGCAGCATAAGCCAAATTTGCAATCGATGGCACGTGTACCTAAACGAAGTTCATATGTTTTTACATTCATCTATTGGTTCTTTCTTAAGAATGAATTGTATACATTGATAAATAGATCCCGAAACGGCCCATTTAGACGTTTCGGTTAATCTGTTATGGTATGATACATTCTGACAATTCTCGGGTGTACTGAACACTTTGTTCACTATATATATGCATAATAACGAGGTCTAATATTTAAATATTGGAAGTTTATTCTGAAAGCATTCGTGAATAATAAACAAAAGTAACAATAGAATTGAATAGAAAATGGTATCAATTTCCAAGCTACTTAACAACGGTTTGATTCTAGCCGGTCAATCCATTTATCAAAGTGTTGCGACTCCACAGCAGGCTTCGGTAGAGCAATACGATATTCTCAGGTACCTTGGTGGAAAAGCGCCATACATTCAACATCCAGGATTTGGAATTCCAACAGATGTTCCAGATCAATGTACCATTGAACAGGTTCAACTATTGTCAAGGCATGGAGAACGTTATCCTTCTAAAAATGTTGGTAAGGCTTTAGAAAAAATCAACGACAAATTCAAGAGCTATAACGGCACTTTTAAAGGTGAATTGGCATTTTTAAACGATTATACTTATTTTGTCCAAGATAAAGACAACTATGAGAAAGAAACCACTGCTTCTAATTCGGAAGGCCCATTCAGCGGTGCTGACAATGCATTGAGACATGGCGCAACTTTCAGGGGTAGATACAATGAGATATATAATCCTGATAAGCCATTACCTGTTTTCACAGCCAATTACAATAGAGTTGTTTTAACTGCTCAATACTTTGCAAGGGGTTTCTTAGGACAAGATTATGATGAAAATAATGTTCAATATGTGCTCATAGATGAGGATGGAAAACTAGGTGCAAATTCTTTAACCCCTAGATATGGATGTAATAATTTTGAATCTGATCCCCACACTGATTATGTTGATGGATTTTCAGACCAATATTTACAGGATGCATTAACTAGATTTAAAAGTTCTAATCCTAATTTAGACTTAGATACGGATGATGTTAACAGTTTATTTGATTGGTGTGCATATGAACTTAATGTCAAAGGCTATTCTCCATTTTGCAATTTATTCTCCAATGATGAATTTATTAAGAATTCATATTCATTGGATCTCGAGAATTATTACTCGAACGGACCAGGGAATAATATGACCAGAACGATTGGTGCACCTCTTATACGTGCTTCGTTAGAGCTTTTAAAAGATAATGAAACAGAGCATAAAATTTTTCTTAGTTTCAGTCATGACACAGATATTGAAATTACTTTAGAAGCTTTAGGCCTTCTTGGAATTGCTGATGGAGAGCAATTACCTAATGATCACATACCTTTTCCTCATACTTATGTTCATTCCAGTATTGTTCCACAAGGTGCTCGTGTCTATACTGAAAAGATTAAGTGTGGTGATAAAACTTATGTCAGATATATTCTTAACGATGCTGTCTACCCACTTCCTACATGTTCAGACGGGCCTGGCTTTTCTTGTGAGTTAAGTGATTTTGAAAATTATGTAAATGATAGATTAGATAAGCTTGATTATTCAGAACAGTGTGATGCAAATGATGTTCCTGACAAAGTTACTTTTTACTGGGATTATAATGAAAAGAATTACACGGATGTCTCTAATGGCAATTAAATCTTAAATTTTGTTTATACTACGATATACATTGAATAAATGTTAGATTAAATTTTATATTTGAAGTAAATCTCTCAATTGTCGCAATTTTTCATTAAAATTGCAAATCACAAAAGAAAACGAATATAGTGTACTCATGTATAGTGCTATTTGGATACATTCATATATACAGTTTCAAGATTCAGAATTAACAGATATAATTTCGCTTCGTTTAAACTCATATTTCATCTTGAAAAAAATTGCAATTAATATCATTATGCTTTGTAATTCAGAAAGTAAGCAAACTTATTATATGATAGAATTAAAGGAAAGAACGTTATAGAAATCATAAAAATTCATCGGGGAATCATATTTACATGTTATTGCTTTTGAACAAGTTATTTTCTCCAAGAACTTCAATCACCACGTAACGCTCTGATAACAGCTGGTCTCCTCATCATATACTTAGTCCACTTGTAAACTTCTGGGAACTCAACCTTCAAATTAATACCAATTCTATCAACTACATTGTTCCAAGGCACAAAAGACAAATCTGCAACAGTAGCTCTATCACCAACTAGCCAAACAGGATAGTCAAAGTATCTTGACTGAGATAAAGGAGTTGTACCAGCACTATAGGCTGCCGCATTTTCAACATCTAAATCCATTATCAACGCTTCTCTTCTTTCAGCTAATGCCATTTCGATAACTCCGTACACTCTTCTCACTTCATCTGTATATCTTTCAACTGCACTCGGAACTGGGCAAGAATGGAAGTATCGGAAATGTAATGCTTGTCCAATCATTGGCGCATGCCCCGACGTTTGAAAGAAAAGCCAGGATGAAATTTGAGATTGTTCAATTAAATTGTCCGACCACAAGGCACATTCTCCGTTATCCTTGACATATTTAGATACCAAATACAAAATAATTGCACCAGACTCCCAAATAGACGTATTCTCATTAAAATGATCGATTAACGCTGGAACTCTTGCATTTGGATTAATTGTTACGAATTCTGGTGCTCTCTGTTCTCCATTATTGAAATCGAGAAAGATAGTATTAAATGGTAGATTCAATTCTGACAATATTATGGCTACCTTAAACCCATTAGGCGCAGACCTATGCGAAAACAACGTATATCCTTCCGTCGGTTGGTTTTGAAAGAACTTCGTAATTCTGGATTGCAGTTGTTGCGTAGTTGCCTCATTCTGTAACTGTTGCTGTAATAAATTTAAATTAACCTCATTTTGCTGTTGGTCTGCAAGATTGACTGACTTTAACCCAGCCGATAAATTAGAAATTGTCTGGTTATTATTACTATTACTATTATTATTGGTCATGATTATTTATTATTATGAACTCAGACTAACTTTTGTTTACAGTTCTAAATAAAATTGATATGATACAACTGTTTCTAATTTCTTTAATTCCCTATTAAGTATTTAATGTAATAATAATAAGGGCCTTTCTTCTGACTATATTCATCCTTTGTTCTTCGAATGGATGATTGAGGAAACTCATCGGGTTTTGTGTAACTATGGATTTTTACTGAGTTATCGCAATTGCGAGCTTTTTTTCCATCGCTAAGGCATAGGGAACCGCTTTCGTCACAGATTTTATCTATAATTGTTGATTTTTCTAAGAAGTTGTATTCATTAGTCGGGATAGATGGCAGTAGAAGGTGATATTAGGCACGTTGCAGTACTTGTATGTGATACGCCAATTAGTGGGATCACTGAGAAGTTTGGCGATTTTGGTGATAATATTATTGATTTATTACTGAACGCTGGAAACTGTCAATATCCCATCGTGAAATATCAGGTTGCATTTGATGCAAGTGAACAAGCTAGCTACCTAGAGGATTTGAAGAAGGTGTATGAGAGATTGACAAATCAGATTATTGGTGGTTTTGTTCAGGGTATTATTTTGAGTGGATCTAGAAGTGATTCATTTGCACAAGATATTCCATGGATCGACAAGCTTAATGAGTTTGTCAAATATGCGTTTGCTTTGGAAAGTCTTCCTATAGTGGGAATTTGCTTTGGTCACCAGATAATCGCAAAAAACTTAGGCTGCAAGGTTGGTAGAAATTCGTCTGAAAACGGATGGGAATATGGAACTACTACTATTAGCTTGAACACAGATATTATGGCCATCAAGAACTCACCATTTCTCAATGTATTGAAAACAGATGATAGTGGAACTGTTATTGACCACTTAAATGTGGTTGAATTTCATCAGGATATTGTTTATGGTTTACCACCACCAGGTGTGTTGGAGAAGAAAAAAACCAATGTTTTGTCGATTGGTTCCTCCAACAAATGTTCAATACAGGGATTAATTACTGAGTCGGGCCCGTTAAAGATATTAACTTTTCAAGGCCATCCAGAATTTACTACTGAAGAGGCTAAAGGTTTCTTGAAAACGAGTTTTGAAAAGGGTTTACTTGACAAAAAGCTTTTTGAGAAATGTAACTATAATACGAGCATATTAAACAATCAAGGCTCTTTGCTTGGAAAAGTTATTGGTAACTTCATAACTTCATTTAATAAATAGAATAGAGAATTAATAGAAATTGAATAATAATACTTTAATGTGTAATAAACTTATATATACATAGAGACGTGAACTAAAATATTATACTTATTATTCATCAAACAACTTCTTTGTTGGAGAAACAATTGCAAATCCTTGTAATTTTCCTCCTTTATTATTACCGAGGATATTTAATGATGAGTTTGTAGTAGTATTATGATTGCTTTGATTGCCGCTGATTGTACGGTTGGATTCTAATCTTTGGGATAATTTATTATTAATAGAATTCATGCCTTGGACCTTTAATTCTAAATTTCTAATCTTCTCCTGAGCTAATTTTAATTCATAATTATAGCTCGAAGATAACTTGGAGACAACCTCTCGCAATTCTTCTCTTTGATTCTTCAAGGTAGAAATCTCAATATGCTCGCGTGATTGATCATATTCCTCATCATAGTACTCATCATCATAATCAGTATGACTATTTGTACTACTATGGTTCTTAGAACTGTTAATTAAATTCAACAGTTTATTATTATTGCTCAAGTTGCTAGCACTTCTCGATTCTTCAATGCGCTTCTCTAAGTCAGGGATTACCTTTAATTTCAAATCTGTATTCTCTTCCAACAATTCATTATACTTGAATAACAAATTACTATCATTAGAACTTTGTTTCCTTTGAGATTCTTCGATTTTATCCTGTAACTGATTAACCAAATCATTTTTAATCAATAACTGCTTATACAATTCAGTTTTTTCATAGTTTAATTTTAAAGGACTTGGCGAGGCTCCACTCTCAGCTAATAATGCATGCTCTTCGCATATAAATCTTAATGATCTTTCTTTATTTAATTTGTCTTGCAAATCTGAAATGATTTTAGCTTTCTCAAGTAATTGACTTTGTAATTCTTCTTTACCTTCGAGAGGAGTGCTGGACGTATTCTTCAATCTGTTTTCAAACTCTAATTCACGCTTTATCGAAGATGCTAACTCTGTTGTTACTAATTGCAACTCGTTCAATAATTCATTATTGCAGTTCATAATACCCAATTCCTCCTTGCTAAACTTAAGAGGCTTTTCTGGTCTTGGCTGTCCAATTGAAGCTGTCGATAATTTTCGGTTTTGAATACCACCTTGATTATAAGAGTGAATCGAATTTCTGTTCAGGTTAAATGAAACATCATCATTAGTAAAGCTTTCATCTTCATCGGTACCCCTTTTCCCAGACTTTGAAAATCTTTTGAAAATGTTCTTCGATTTATTACTAAGTGAGAAGGTCTTTGAAGATCTTCTCTCTTTTTTGGAAGACTCGGGGATAAATGTGTTATCATCCACTATTGGCGAGCTTAACATATCTGAAGTATTCATATTCCTTATGTTGGATAAACGTTTTTCATTACCTGTATCCTTACTTACATCCTTAGGATATGCTTGACCAATGCTATAAACGTTCTGAGATTTATCATTGTTATTTGATATATTTGAATTATGCGTTGTGGGAGGAGTTGTGTTTTCATTATAATCCCTCTGAGTACTAGATATGCTTTGATCCGACTCGTGTTGCGATGCTAAAGGTTCTCCCTGAATATCATTTTTTTCAAACGAGGTAGGATTGGCATTTTGAGACTGTGCGAGAGAAGATAACGAGCTATAGCTACTCGTTTCGTCTAACATTTGTTTGGGTTGACTGAATGATCTTTCCAGATTGAGATCTTCATTTGTTGTATTTGTAGCATTTGCGGCGCCATACTCACTATTACTTGGAGAGGCCGGGAACTCAGGTAATGCTTTATTCGTTTTTTTAGAAGGGTCTCTAAATTTATCAAACGCCGTATTAGTTACCAACGACCTAATTGACGCTTGTTTTGTAAGCATCCTCGTAGGAGTATCATTGTACAGAGTTCCATTAGAAACAGGCTCAGGCGAACCCCTTCTCCTTAACGTTTTACTGTCATTGTCAATGTCATTTTCTTCGTTCTCGTTGATATCTTCATAACCAGAATTCTTTAATGGTGAGTTTTTCTTACTATTATTAACTCTACCTAACTTAGATGGGGAGATTAAGTCATTAGCCGTTACGAAGACATCATCTTTGTTTGATGAGTTAGCATTAGAGCTATCATATTCAGCAGTTGCACCAAGTGACTTAAACTTTTCTTGACGTTCATCTCTTTGGGCCATATCTTCAGCATTAGGTTCATCATGTAGCACCGATTCTCTCGCTCCTCTTGCATTTCTCAAGTTAAAGGATGGGGAAACATCGTTACCATTGTCATATGTTGTTTGAGACGAGTGAGACAACCTTCTAGAATCATCTGGAGATTCATCAAATGAAGTTTCTGGTATATCAGGCTGCTCACGAGTCTCATTGTTGAATAAATTCAATTTACGTAATTTCATGGAATTCGATTTCTTTAATGTCGATTTCCTTGAAAGCAGACCAGCATCATCATGCTCATCAAATTTGTAGACTACATCGTCGTTGATATTATCCTCATCGGTATCTCTCCTATTTGAGGGTGGTGCCTGGTTATCTTTTGGTGAGTTTGCCGCATTTTCTTCTTCTTCTTCTAAGACATTCATTAATGAATCATTTGACTTTTGAGCATAATTTTGGTTTGATCCAACTGGAGCATTTGGACTAGGACCGCTTGGAATTGCTTGTGGCATATTTTGTCTTTGCTGCTGGTTAATGAACTGGCTGCCGCCAGCCTGGTTTAACCTTGGATCGTTAAGAGGATTTCCCCCATTTAATGACATAGCTCTCGCGTTTGGATTCAACGTCGAATATCCACTATATTGTTGTGGATTTTGCTGTTGCATTTGTTGCATTTGTTGCATGTGTTGCATTTGCTGCATGTGTTGCATTTGTTGCATGTTTTGTGGATGGAATTGGGGTTGTTGTTGATTCATGGGATTGCCGTTAGTCAATGACATTGCACGAGGTCCAGGTGGACCATTTGTCAAAGACATAGCTCTTGGTCCTCCGGCAGGTTGCATGTAGGGACCATTGGTAAATTGAGCTCCATTGTTTCTCATCGACATAGTTCTAGGGCCATTTTGGGGCATGAATCCACCCTTTCCTGGAGGAGGCATTTGCATACGATTATTCAAAGACATAGCCCTTGGCCCGTTAGCCATCATCCCATTGGAGTTCAAAGACATTGTCCTAGGACCATTACCGTTACCAAATGAGCTTAATGACATAGCACGTGGATCTGAAGGTTGTTGCATTGGATTTGATCCTGCCAAAGACATTGCCCTTGCGTTAGATGCATACGCCATTTTCTTCTGGTGGTTCATCTGCTTTCTATACTGGATATTAGTCATCGATCTTCCAGATGCTGACCCGATTCCACCTCCAATTGTGGGTATGAACGGAGTCGAATCCAAATGCTGAGGCCCATTCACTCCGTATGGCCCTCTGTCCCTGATATGCGAAATGTCATCGAACGAAACATTCGACCCGTTGGTGAGCTCATTAATATCCGCCCCCGTGTCTTCGTCAAATCCCCCATCTCCCTTATTACGCCGGAAGAGCTTGTTCATCGACATGTTAGATTGAGACGTTATCGACCCCTTTCGTGCCCCTTCGTTGCCGCCTTGGTTGGTGAGTGATTCATAACTACTAAGGAACGACGGTTGTGACTGTGGCCCATTAGGCACATTGGCCCCAAATGCTTGCGGATATGCTTGTCCATACTGCTGTTGTTGATATACTCCACCATTTGGACCCATAGGCATCTGCTGCACCGGCGTTTGCTGAACTGGCATTTGCTCCTGTGGTTCATTTAGCCCGTTTATATCTAGTTCACTATTCAACAACTGTTGTCTTAGTCTGCCTTTCTGCATAGCTGTACTAGCCATTTCGCCAACTATTATCTATTGCACCTCTTGTGGTAGTACAAAAAGCAAATTTTATTATAAAATTATGTCTAAATGTAAAAAACCCGGCTTAGATTTTAGAAGAAAGCCGTCTGTCTACTACAATATATTTTCATATTCGAGTTTTTAGTGCAATGTAAGAAGGATAACAAGAAACAAATCTGAAGATGCGCGGTGTATGGATGTTTTGGTGTAGAGAATTGTATGCCAATGAAACACTGCCTTATGTCTATTGTTCTGATTGTTCTGTTTGTCCTATTATTGCGACAATGTCCTGGGTCGGTAAGAGAAAGTCAGACCGTACCGAAGGATCTGCGCGTATTATCGAAGGGAACGAATATTCGGAATTCTAGTGTTAACTGTTAAGATGTTCTATTTGACTTTTGTTCTACTTATTCTATTTGTTCTAGAAACACAAAGTGACGAAGTGGAATGTTTTAGTAGGTAATGAAAAATAGGAAATTACGCACTAGTAGCATTAGGGTGACTTACAATAATCACTAGATGTTCAGCTGAGTTATGTCGGACATTAGCAAAGGGAATATACTAAGGTGAAATTTGGATGGATGCGAGCATCAAGCATACTGTGTATTTATGTAATTACCGAATTGGCTAGCCAGCATCGGGAAGAAAGCTCTCGCTGGTTTAACACTGCGTATGTAGTGGAGAAATATGCAGGCAAGAGCAGAGAAGAGTTGAATCAGGTTTACCGTTTCTTTGGGACTTAAATAAAATAGTGGTGGTTTCATTTGCCCAATGTACCCAGCTGTTGACTAGGCCATATAGGATGTTGCCGTATACAAGCGTAATTGAGTCTTTTTCTATCCACTAGGCGACCATTGGATAAAATTACAAGAGTGGATGCCACGTTAGCGAGATATTTGTACGTTGGGTCCTTGGGCGAAGAAACTGCTTAAGTTCCGACTTCGTGGCCCACTATTACTCCGACAATTCTGTATCTCTTTCGAAAGAACAACATCCATTTGTCCACAATCAGGTTTTCCTTCTCGGTGAAATCGTCTGTGTACCATGTGTTGTTCTTCTCCGATGCATATGGTTCTCCTGTGGGCTTCAACTGCAATTGGTTCAAGCCTAACAACCTCGAAACGTCCTTTCCGACAAGCTTGTGGTACGACCTACCGGGTCCATAGTTGGAAATATTATGGGTAACATCATATATATATCCCTTGATTGCAACGTACAATTCCGGCTTCTCTATTCCGTTGTAAAGCGATAATTGAGATCGGGTGTAAATGGGTAGCAGATTTATATTTATGTTGTCGTTGAAAATTTCAAATTCATTTGGCGCCTGTTTCGAGACTCCATCTTGATGGCTAGTATCCAGCGACGACATAGCTATTAGTGTAATAAATATTTAGTATAACCATGCAGTAAATACTTATTTAATGACGACAGATGTTCGAAAAATAAATCGTCTATCAGGTTTTAGATTCTTACGTATTGATTCGATTCAAATTTCAGTCTCATAGAAATCATAGAAATGTCACAAAATTGATCATCATCAAATTACTATACTCATCTCTATATTCATTCAACAGGGTTCTTTAACGTATAGAAATGGTATGTATACTAACAGAATATGATGTGACACGAGATTCTCCTTGAAGGCGCATATATGATATATTTGTGTTTTACTCATGAGTTTCTACAAACTTTTTTAATCTCAAATACTAACCTTTAGGCAAACGACACAGAGAAGTATCCGATAAATATTCAGAAGCTATTTGCTGCAAAACCACCCCTTGTATATAAAGCACCGCTAGATTATCCCGCTGAATCAAGATGCACTAATCATATAACATCCATAAGCTCATTCAGAAGCCAATGGCAGCAATATGTGGATGAACTAGTTGAAGCTGAAAAAAGCCAACCCTCACCTAAAGAGACCATTCAACAGATACAAATAAAAGAAAAAGCACGAAAGAAGCAAGAAATACAAAAGTCATACCAACGCCAATTGAAAGAGTGGAATGATCCTGAGTTGCTACAGAAAAATGAACAGGAATTCATGAAAGACCCATTTAAAACTGTGTTTATATCCAGGTTGGACTATTCACTCACAGAGTTGGACATATCAAAGAATTTCAATAAGTATGGAGTGATTGAGTCTATAACCATTGTGAGAGATAAGAAGCTGGGTAAATCAAGGGGTTATGGGTTTGTAGTTTTTGAACGAGACGAGGATGCCAAAGGCTGTATTAAGGAATTGGCCCCTACAGGCTTGAAAATCCCCACCGGAAACAAACCATACACTAGAACAATACTCGTGGATATGGAAAGAGGCAGACTTGTAAGAAACTGGAAGCCTAGAAGATTGGGTGGGGGATTAGGGGGCAGACATTACACGAAACCAAATCCTAATCTTTCCAATAATGCCTCAGCAGCAGCGTCAGGAAGAAGATTGCATTTATCGAGCAATCCTTATCAGAGTAACCCGCTGCAGCCATCCCATCTGTCTACAAGGTATGCTCCTAGGCCCAGTGCTCCTCGAACTACGGTTGACAATCGACAACCTCGTCCGGCAGCGTATGGTTCGTACAGTCTGGTTGAAAGCAACGAATCTGTACGTGACAAATATGCAAAATATTCCAGTAACTATGATTCAAACCCTTCTAGTTATAGTTCTCCGAGAACATCTGGCCAGAACAGATCAATTAGAAGCATTCGACAACGAGAATGATATTATAGCATTAATAAATTGTATAATAGTAAATTCTTAATACGCACTAACCTGTAAATTTTCTTAGACGCATTCTCGATTCTATATAAACTAATATTTATTTAGTGATGTTGACGAGCGTTTACTCTAATAATCACTTAACTAGAGAGAAATAAAGATGTCAAATGATACCTCTAACAAGAGAAAGTTAGAGGAAGAATATTTCAGCGATAACAAAAAAGTGAGACAAGAAAGTCCTGATTCTGTGGTTGATGATTTAAATTATTTGAAAGAGAGTATAAAGCAAGAAATATTCAAGACCTTTGAAGAAAGATTTAATAAATTAGAGAATGAGATTAAACAATTGAAACATACTTCCAAAGATAATTCAAGCACCAAATCTGGAAGTGGTAAGAAAGAAGAATCTGTTAGCACGCCTCCTGATGAAACAAACCTTAAGGTTTCATCTGGTGGTTCCAAATTGCATCCTTTAAATCCGACAGCCACTGAGTTACCTAAGTCTAATTCAAATCCATTTGATGAAATAAAGGGTTTCAAATCTGTGGAGGGGAATGAAAAAGCGTCCGATCTCAAACCATCTAAGCACACATTTGGGGGAAGCTCATTCAAGCTCACTACACCTATGAATTCATTTGTGTCTAATTCCAATCCAGCGGACACGCCCACAGCTCCAAATACTGCTCAGTCATCCCCAAAGCATGTTTTTGGTGCCACAAGCTCATTTGGAAATGTTTCGGCTTTCGATGTTGCCAAAAGCAAGAAGAATGTTTTTGAAGCCTTACCATCCAAATCCACAACTGAGAATTCTAAGTCCCCCAGTGCAGATATCTCCAAGAGCACTTCATCATCTGTTACCTCATCGTTTGGCTCTGGTGCATTTGGAAATAACACGAAATTTAATAATGCATTTCAAAATTCCTTGAAGAAGAAATCATTCTTGGATGATAAAGAAAGTAAGGACGATGCAGACGAAGAAACGCGTAACTCAGAAACTAATGGAAAAGAAAAGACACCAACAACACAGCAATATAAGCAGGTCAATTTAACTCCAGTTGAAGAGATTAAAACCGGAGAAGAAAACGAAAAATCTCACTTCACTTCGATGGCTAAAATATTCGAGTTAGATTTAACTAACATTTCCGAAGGGTGGAAAGAAAGAGGTTTAGGTAGATTGCATTTGAACCAATCCTTAGAAGACCCACTAAAAGTCAGATTGGTTATGAGATCCCAAGGATTGCTCAGAGTTGTCTTGAACATGAAAGTGACCTCCGATACTAAATTGATCAAGGGTTTAGAAGCAAGTTTGTCACCAGGAAAGTTCGTTAGATGGAACTCCATTAATGAACATGGAGTACCTGTTCAGTATTTACTTAAATTTGCCAATCAAACCATTAGAGACGAGTTGGTTGAAAAGGTTGAGAATTTGAAGGAGACTTTTGAAACAGAACCAAAGTCTAAAGGGACTGAAACTAGTACTAGCGTAGAATCTAAGGAAACAAAACAAGATGCTACAGGTGTGAAATGGTTATAAAACCTGTTATATATGTAAAATATAAAATATATTGTATAAAATCCGTGATACTTAGATGTGCAAATCAATTTTTGATAAATGCGATGCTGCAAATAGTAGACCCTTTGACACCCCCAAATTGGAAACTAGGATATTCTATCTTGCTCCATACAGTCAAGCAATTAGACTTATCCTGCGTTATTATTTTTATTAATTCTGATTCAGTAAAATTGCAAGAAGTTATCAACAAAATCGAATTTTCATGCATCAATTGCGATACTTGGGATGCATAAATATCCATGCCGATTTTATTGTCGAATTCTGGAATAACATTTTGATTAAGTGCTATGGCATCCAACGTACCTTTGTCCAATAATATATCGAATTGGGATGAATTGGTTAACAAAAATTTATTCTCCTTTGTTAACAAATCCACTTGTTCGAATTGAAATGCGGCCTGAGGATATTTCTGCTCCGCAATTTTAATAGCAAATTCCACTGAGTCAGGGGAATAATCAATTCCTTTAAAGTCAAACTTTATCTCATCTTGATAAGCACATTCCTCTAAAATATCTTCATGCAATTGAAATAAAAGGTGTCCATTACCAGTTCCTAAATCCACAATTTTGATATTTTCAGGTTTTCCAAATGGTAATTCTTCTTCATTTATTTTATCAATAAGAAATTGTATCATCTTCAGTTCTGCATCTGAATCATCAAACCAACATTCCCCTGTATCTTCTTCGTTATCTTCGAAGTTTGCAATTTCCTTCTTGTAGAAATTGTTCCAGCTAAATAAAATATTAGTATTGTGCAACTGAATAGGCAGAAGTTATAAAAAAGGTAACTTACTATTCTTTAGTACCTAGTTTGGAAGAGTTTAACCTTATTTCCTCTGACATGGTCCTTATTTTGTAATGTCACTTCGTATAGTTTGTATGAGGTTTGATCGCAAGCTCATCACTTCGACAAAATTAATGTCTGAGAAATTATGTAACCTTTTCAACAGACGCGTTCAACGGTAACAGAAGTATTGAAATATATGGAATAAAACTAGTGCAAGATAGTACTTGAATTATGAATGGTGAAGAAATCATCTCCATAGATGTTGAAGAACCTTCCCGGCTTTCAAATGTGGTAATGCCATCCGATAGAACTGAAGAAGTCACTGTAGTTGAGCAGTCTCCAATTGATCAACAAACAGAAGTCAACTATAGAATTTGGAAAAAGAATGCCCCATTTCTCTATGATTATATTACAACACACTCGTTGTTATGGCCGAGCTTGACAGTACAATTTTTTCCAGATTTAGAGAAACCATTACCGAAAGAAGCAAGACTAGATCCATTTCAAGACTTCAAGAAAACTGATGCAAATGAACCTAAATCAGAGAATGAAGTATCCATTCAAAGAATTTTGCTTGGAACATTTACGCTTGGGCAATCTACAGATAGTATTTCAATTCTTCAATTGCCATACTATACCAATTTAAATAAGAATCTTACCATAGATAAACTAGATTATAATCACGAAAAAGAAGAGTTTGAATTAACAAAGGTAGCAAAGAAGAAAATCAATGTTTTACAAAAAATAAATCACTGGGGTGATGTTAATAAACTGAGGTATATGCCTCAAAATCCTGATGTCATAGCTAGTTCTAATAATTTAGGTAACTTGGTAATTTACGACAGAACGAAGCATGCAAGCTTTAAGAATAGTTTGATAGGTGAAGATACAGAAATAAACAAACCGCAGTTGCACTTAATTAATGAATGGAATCTGTCCGATTCTGATATATTTGCCATTGATTGGAATAAGCAAAAAGAAGGCGTGATAGTATCAGCTAATATGGAAGGTAATATTAACTTATATGATATTAAGAGTAAATTTACCTCCAAAGATGTCCAAACCATAAATGACTCACAAAATTTTAGCAACTCCAGTATTGCCATAAATGATATTGAATGGATACCGAACCATGATTCTATATTCACTTTTGTTGATGATCAAGGATATATTAAATTACTTGATGTAAGATTACCAGAACATCAGCTGTTGATTCTTCAGCATCAAAAATCAGATAAGGGAATTAATAGTGTAAGCGTTAATCCTGGTAATTCAGCTTGTTTAGCTACAGGTGATATAGATGGTATTATAGATGTTTGGGATATTCGAATGTTTGGTTCTGGAAATGCAAACAGTGTATATAGTATTAAAAATCAACACCAAGGATCCATTACACAAGTCAAGTGGCATCCGAAATATCATAATATTTTAGCATCTTCATCAAGTGATAAGCTGGTTAAGATATTTGATTTGAGTACAATTGAAGGAGAAGAAGACGAAGAAGGACTAATATTTACTCATGCTGGTCATATGTTAGGCGTGAATGATTTAGATTGGTCTTTGCATGATGATTGGTTGATGGCAAGTGTTGCAGATGACAATTCCTTACATGTTTGGAAGCCTTCGAAGCAAATAGTCAAACACTACGAAACCGTATAGAAATGGGACAATTGATTTCTCTACAAGTATATTATTTTAATAGTCTTTTTTATATTCTAATTCATGACAAACATTTAAGAAAAAACTAAATTTAATTCATGTGTTTCATATATAATATATATTAAATTTAAGCTTTAGCGAATAACTTTTCAACTTCAGCAACAGATTCGGCCAAAACCTTATCTTGGAATTTAGGGTTTTCAACTTCCTTGTTGACTTTTTCTAAGACAGACTTGATCAATTGTTCTTGTTCTAATTGTCTTTGTTGTTGTTCAAATCTAACCCATGAGTCTAAAGTAGACTTGGCTTCTTGGGCAACAGCAAGCTTTTGCTTTAATTCGAAAGATTCGGATTCTAATTTAGCAGTTTCCTTAGAAACAGCAAACAATTGCTTGGTGGTTTCGACAACATCTTTCAATTGGGAAACGGAGTCAATTCTGTCCTTAACTGCAGTGACATGCTTGGTACGGGATGTGTTTAATAAATCGTTAACTTTCTTGATTTCTCCATCAGCCCATTCGGTGTATAATGGAGCAACGAACTTGGCAACTAAGGCAGCGAAAGCAGTGAAAGTAACAACCAAGATAGTTTCTTCGTGAATGACGAGTATTTCGTTAGAGATACCGTAGATTGCAGCGGCAGCAGAAGTAGCTAAGAAACCAGTCTTGGATAAGTAGTTGTTACCTGGCATAGCGTCAACAATAGAGTTGGCCTTTTGCTTTGGCTCAACTGGAGTAGACATATAACGTAAACCAATTCTAGAAATTGTTAGTATGTACGAATATAAAATTTCGTTTCCATCCTTATCGAATATTCATCATGAATTCAATCAATTCTATATCAATCTATTCCTATTATCAGGATGTTTCCAATACTTAACTACAACGTATCTTGCTTCTCCTCTGATTGAATTTTGTATATGTGTTCATTATCCTGAGTTATTTGGTCCTCAATAAGATCGATTCATAACACTTAATCCAAATTTATCTCTTCCTAATCGAATACATTCAATCCCACTACTTAATTATGACATATTCCATATTCATCACAATTGGATGTCCGGTGTCCCTTTCTTACATATTTCTTCTTACTCTGCACCAGATGAAAATATTCGGATGAAAATCTAATTAAAAAAAATTAAACATACGGAGCTGGACGAATAGCCATTCTAAGAGCTGGACGAGCAGCAGCTTTCGTAGCAATTCTGTTGATCATAGACATTATTGAATATATTTCCTATAAAAGCTGTACAAGAAAACAGTTCTCTGATTTCAGAACTCAATTTTCACTATAGACTATTTTCAAGACGGACGAGGATCGGATTGAAAAACCAAATTTGATTGGCGCATTCGTAGACTTCCTAATTGGGAAGTAAATTCCCTTATACCGCGTTTGCGACTCATAGGTCAAATACTCGTTCATAGGACGTTATGCATTTAAATTCAATAATTGCAACTTTCTGCATCTAGAAACCTGTCTAGTATATAGAGTTTTGATACTTTGTCTGTAATATCCTATTTATTGCTTGATTTGTTTTTGTATCTGCTTTGTTAATATAATATGCTAGGTCTGCCTTCAAATCCTTGTTATGGGTCGATTCATGCCCTTCCAACGAAGCGGTGTCATCCAGGTATTTGGACACCTTATCAGCCTTTTGACTTATGTCCTGTAGGATTTCCCGTTGTATTTGCGATGCTAATACCTCGACGGTCTCATTATTAGATAGGGCCAATGTTGGGGGATTCTTTAATCCAGAAACCGCTTCTCTTGTGTCTAAGTCAAAATTACGAGATCGTATATGGCTGGTATTCGTATTATGTATATATTCTTCTTCTAGTCCAGCAGAATTGACTTGTGTATCATGATTAGGACTATGGTCGAGAGTTGATTGAGATAACACATCGCCATTAGTCACATCCTCAACCTTCCTATTCTCCCTCAACTTCGCTAGACGTGATTTTCTACTATTAGCCTGTTCGTTCAATGAAAGCAGCATTCTCTATTGTGGTGTATAATTAATACAGAAGTTAAAGATCATCTTCAGTACTTTATAGATATAATTTGTTTTCATATTGGGCATCGGACACTACCCTCTTGCAGCCAATACTCTATATACATAATAGCAAAGCGGCTAATGTTCTATAATAACACTCAAATCCCAATTGAATTTAATACTACTAATGGGGTCCATAATCAGAGTAAATAGTCTAGATATATCTGAAGAAGAAGGAAAAGAAAGTGAGGGAGGTAAATATTACCCTTGAAACCAACTTTAGATTCAACTCGTATTTACTAACTGGATTCATAAAAAGTTGATTCACCAAATAGCAGAGAACACAATTTCAGGCAACTGCAACTTGATAGTTATATAATAGGAGATTCCAGTTCAGTTTCGAGCAAAGATGGAGGAATATCTACTCCCACGCCGTTAAGTTCGAGACGTTTCCCAGGAAGAATAAGAAGAACGAATAAGGTCTTTAAGCCCTTCACTCCTCCTAGGTTCATGCTGAGAACTGGAGGTCCAGATATTCGGGAATTTGTCTTGGGCTTGAGTACACCTAAAGCAAATTCTTGCCTGACTAATAGTTTATCACTTAGTTCTCGACAGCATGCGTATCGGACAGGTACGTTAGGAACGGGGAGAATTCGAGAACCAGTATTCAATTTGGACACATACAATGGTTTTGTTGATCGGTTGAGTTTTGATCGCCCACCTCTTTATCGGAATGATTCTGTTCTGATGAGATCACTTAGCAGGCTCCAATCAAGAAAACAGGGTGTATTAGTCAATAATGCAATTAACTTGTCTGAAGCTTCTTTTCCTCCTGAAGGAAATGATACTTTAGACACTTGCCAGAAAAGCATATCAAAAACTATAAATCCAGCCATACTATCCACATCCATTTTGCCTGAGAAATACAGATTCATATTCAGTTTCAGCAAGTTTAACAAAATGCAGTCGGAATCATTTGAAAGTATCTATAATTCAGATCAAAACTGTGTAATAAATGCCCCAACTGGTTCAGGGAAGACTGTTTTGTTTGAATTGGCGATTATCAGATTATTTAGTATATCCAATATGAATAGTAAGGCCTTTTATTTGGCGCCCAGCAAAGCATTATGTGCCCAAAAATATAACGATTGGGTAGGCAAGTTTTTAACTTTGGGCATTACCGTTGGTGTTTTGACAAATGAAACATCTATAGAAGAAACAGAGAATGTTAAAGGATCCAATATAATCATCTCAACCCCTGAAAAATTAGATCTATTAACAAGAAGATTATCGAACTACGATACATTTTTCAAAGACGTAAAATTAATTATTATAGATGAAATACATACTTTGAAAGATTCCAGGGGGTCTACATTGGAAGTCGTAACTACAAGAATTAACAAAATGTGCAGTGATATTAGAATTGTTGGCGCGTCAGCATCGGCTCCTAACTTACATGATATGTCCATTTGGTTGAGGAAGAAAGATGATTTAAATCCTGCAGTAACTTTAAGTTTTGATGATACATATAGATCTGTTCGACTAGATAAGATAGTTTTGGGTTATGCTTCCCAAAGAGGTAAAGACTTTCATTTTGATCAATTCCTTCATTCAAAATTAGTCGGGGTCATAAAACATTATGGGAATAACAAGCCAACAGTAATATTTTGCCCTACCAGAAATAGCTGCTTAAAAACAGCGAAGTATTTGAATGATAATTTTGATCACTTATTTTGCACTCAAAGTCCACCGATGCATTTTGATGAAAACGAGTTGCTGATCTATGCAGCTCATGGAATTGCATTTCATCATGCCGGGTTGTCTCCTAATGATCGAAAGAGAGTTGAATTGCTATTTATTGAGGGAAAATTGAATATTTTGTGCTCCACATCTACTTTATCTCTGGGTGTTAATTTACCGACCTTTTTAGTAATTATAAAAGGAACCAAAAGATGGTACAATGGTTCTTTTCACGAATACAAAGAAACAGAAGTTTTGCAAATGATTGGACGGGCTGGTAGACCAAAATTTGAGACCAAGGGAAAGGCTGTTATAATGACCACTGCAGACCAAAAGGTTAAATATCAGAGACTCTTGAAGGGCATACTTAAAGATGACTCGGAAAGAATAGAAAGTTGTTTACATTTAAATTTAGCTGAGCACTTGGTAGCCGAGATATCACTTGGTACAATAGAAAGTATAGATGACACGTTAAAGTGGCTAAAATCAACTTTCTTTTTTATTCGTTTCACATCCAACCCGACATACTATAAAGAAATAACATCCTCTCATTCACTAGGGCCCAGTAAGAAGTTGCATCAGTTTTGCCAAAAATACCTAGATAGCTTAATAAATGAGAGGATTGTTTCTTTCGTGCCTACTGGTGGTTTCCGGTGCACTGAATATGGGGATGTGATGACAAAGTACTATATACTATATCCTACTATGAGAAATATTATTCGAAGTAATGTTGGAAATACATTGTTAGATATATTGACTATTTTCTCCCGGTCCTTTGAGTTTTCGGAATTCAGTATAAAATACAACGAAAAGAAGTTATACAAAGCAATTAATCTGTCTCCGTATATAAAGTTTCCTTTAGATTCTTCAGAATTTCAAGATAGTGACAAAGTGATATTACTATTGCAGTATGAACTATGTGGATTGGAATTCCCAGAGTTCCCTGAATCGATGAAACTATATTATTCCTTTGAAGGAGAAAAGTGCTACGTTCTAAAACAAGCAAGTAGAATAATACATTGTATGGCAGATGTTTTTAGATGCAAGAAAGATTACGTATCACTCTTAAATACCTTAAAGTTTTTGAGGTGTGTAACGGGTAGATGCTGGGAAAACTCAGTTACTGAGCTTAGACAATTAAATGGAATTGATTTAGAGTGCATCAGTGCACTACGGAAGAATAATGTAAACAGCATTAAAGAAGCAAAATGCTTAAGTCAAATGCAGCTAGAGTCTTTTCTATGTGGAGAATCTGGTGCTGGAAAAGCTATTACTCGGGGTCTTCAGTATCGTCCAGAGTTTAAGATTAATGCAACATTAGCTTCTCACAGGATACGTACTGATTTAGAAACAATTGAAGCTAATTTGATTATATCCTTTAGCGTAGATAATATTGTGGAAGGTGTTTGGAAAATAAAGGAAAAGTTCATTAGTATTGTCGTTGGGATATCTACTGGTGAACTTGTGGATTTCAGAAGATTCGCAACATCTGAATTAGCTGGGGGTAAAGTAAAAACGTTCCGATTAACAGCTAGTGTGACAGATCGCCAACAAAAGATACATTGCCATATCCTTCCAGAAAATATGGTTAATATTGATGTACAATATATTCTTTGCCTTGACATTATAGAACCATGGGAGTTTGATAATCTCATGAATCAAAAGTCGAAAAATGAGTCTGAGTATAATTCGAGCACTTCTAAAGAGTTTGATAATGTTTTAACCCAGTACGTAAGATCCGATTCGGAATCAGATTTAGAAAGTGATGATTTGATCTTTGATCCTGTCCAAAGTATTCGTTCTGTTACAGAAATATCGAAAGAAAAGTGTACTTCAAAAGAGATTCAATCAAATAATATCCGTAAAATAAGATCAGACGGAAATTACGAGTGTAATCATCTTTGCAAAGATAAAACCAAGTGTCGACATTTTTGTTGTAGAGATGGTATTCCTAATTTGAAGAGGCAAAGAACCACTAAAAATCATGGCGAACTAAAAACTAACGATTATGATTCACAATCAGTAGTATCATTTTCATCTGTTGACGGGCCCCAAACATCACATCTGATAGGACATGAAAAGGAACAAGGAGTCCAACCTAATTTGCATCTGCCAAATTTCAAGAGAAAAAAGATAAAGCTTGGTCAGAGAGTAGGCATATTCAACATAAATAATAGTGGGTTGTTTGATAATTATTAGTTGACAAAACTGCACTATACTAGGCCATATTTAAATCAAATTGAAGTTTATCATAAAATAATGATGTTGCCATAAACCAGAGTGTAGATAGTTACAAGTCTAAATTTATGGCACTAGGAAAATTTGTTTGTATATCATGAATGCATCATACGCTACTAGTGTTATTTTAAACCATGTAATTATAAAAATAATCCACCAATGTATTTCTCAGCAATATCAGCTAAAAACGAGTCTGATATAACCATATGGTCCTCTTCGATTTCTAAGAATACGAGCTTTCCATTCTCGTTCATAGTTTTAAGCCCTAGCAAATTGTTTTCATACAAGGAAGTTTTATCAAATGGTATCGTTCTATCAAATACAGTATCCCAATCATTGAAACCGGCACTTTCTTTGGGAACCACGGTAGTATCTTTAGTAAAAACGACCATAACGAATTTACTCAATTTATTAAGCCTCTCTCCATACGCTGAGTTAAATTCTTGAATTAATTCATTGTTTACATCTGCTAAGAAATTGGAATGGAAAACATAGTTATCATATTCGTAGGGGTCCCGGAAGTATTGAGCAGGTATTATAGATTTCTGTATATTGTCATGCCACACTTGCTTCTTAAGGACTTCATTCTTTTTTTTACACAACCAATCATTAGGTTTACATGTAGGAAGTTCCAGAACACCCATATGTGGTGATCCAAAGGTTATCAAATTGTGCACTGATACACTGGAGCACCTCTGTATCAAAGCTCTCATAAACAATCCTCCCTGAGAAAATCCAATAGCATCAAACCCTTGTTTCAATTCAGGTATACTTGATAATTGCTCGCAAACATATTCCACTTCTTTATTTGCATCGCCGAATAATGTTTTCTCTTGATCCTTAGAAGGTTTCGCATCTAGAAATACTGGATAGATAAACATATCAGGATATCGTTGATTGAATATTGATATTACATCCACCATTCCTGAAGAATTATAATTATCACCAAGCCCATGCCATATAACTAATGGCCTGCGTCCATTAAGTTTTGCTACTTGTTGTTCATTATCTAGTACGTCTACCTCAGCAATCTGTGGGGAATATTCCAAAACAGTTTGAATTTTTGGCACTCCTGGTGTCGTATTCTCAAGAATAATTTCTGAAGCAAGATTTTTTATTGATAAGGCTTTCAATAGAAGATGACTAAGATGCATTGTCTTGTAAAATGTGATATAGGGTAGGACATATATGTAAATGACTCCAATAATCTCATATTTATGTTACACGTGAATTCTGGCAATGAGCATCTCAAAAAGCGCTAAAAATTTATACTATGTACTGATCAAAGCATTATCACCAAAAAGCATGGTATCTTCGTTCATATTGGGTCAGTCGGCTTTAGCAGATGGCACGAAGTCATCCAAGTCACTAATTAGCCACATCGGAAAAGAAAATGGTCCGGAACATCACGAAGCCGTATATCTCATAATCAATACTAAAATCTATCTCACTAAAATCAAAGATTATACACCCAGAATTATTCCGTTGACTAAGGGATTGGATAAATTAGAAAGCAAATCAATATTGCTTATAACCAAGGATCCCTCTTTACCTTATCGTGATGCATTAACGAAAAAAGATTCGCCAACAGAGGATGTTTTCAACCAAATATACACTTTAACCAAGTTGAAGCACATATCTAAAGACCCCAAAAAGTTGACTAAACTATTCAAAGAATTTGACATTATAGTAGCCGATAATAGAGTCCACAAGTTTTTGCCAGATATCTTAGGGGCTCGTTTTTACGTTAAAAATAAGAAAATTCCATTCATGGTCCAAATGGCCAAGCCTGACAAAGATGCCAAATTATCTAAAGGAAAGAAATCTACAAAACTTAAGGATGACAGATGTGAGCCCGAGTACGTTAAATACCAAATGAAGTCCATAGTGAGAAATGCCTCGTATATTCCATCAGCAACAGGAACATGCATCTCTGTCAAGATAGGTTATAGTGATTGGAAACCGGAAGAACTTTTGACAAATGCTAACGACGTAATAAAATATTTGATAGAACCTAAATTCCTTCCGGTTGGTGGATTGTTGAGAACCACTAAAAACTTAGTTAGTGTTCATATCAAGACTAGCGAAAGTATAAGTTTACCTGTTTTTAAACAGAAAGAAGACATAAAAGAAGATGATGAGTACGATAGTGACTTAGATTTTTAGAGAAACTATAATTAAGAAACGTATTTGATACATATCTTGGACGATTAGGGAATTATGTATTGGGGCGGTTCGAATACGCATCTTTATATATATGTATAATAGCATTTAACATCATATATTTCTACTAAATCATTTAATTCACCATTTCAACCATATGACGTAGTTGCGAAAATGAGGAAAATGGCTTGTCCCGGATATCAAAAAAATTAAACTTCGTAGACTGAGTAAATATATTCCTATTGACAATAGATTCTCCTTGCCCTTCCGCAAACGTATGGTATTAGGTATTTTGAAAGATTAAATATCATCTTTACACAATTAAGTAGGCTGATTTTTCATTTTCTAGCAGTTAGCTTAGAAATTGCATAAAATAAAATTTTTATTTGATGTACTGAACTATGGAAAATTCACAATCTTTGGGTTCGGCATCACGAAATGCACCTAATGGTGGGCCTAAGCCATTAAGAAACTCCTTACTGTCGTTTACAAATCATTTCAACTTGGGTAAACTGACACCAGGAAAGCTTTTGAATTCTTTCATGCAAGATATGGAAGATCAAGAAGTTGAGATAGAACATTTTAAGTATAAGCAAGAATTGGAGAGAAAATTGACTGTTACATCGGTAATCGGTTTAGGTTTCGGAATAGTGGGGGTGGTGTTTGGTTTATCCTCTACGATCTGGATTTCACTTATTGATGGAGCCAATGTTACAATTCTTTACGGATGGGTAATCACAGCATTTTTCTCTACTTGTGTTGTTCTAAGCCTAAGTGAAATCGTGTCAAAGTACCCGACTTCCGGAGGCGTTTACCATTTTAGTGCCCTATTAAGTAATGAAAAATATTCGTCTGTTTGTTCTTGGTTTACTGGATGGTTCCTCATTATTGGAAATTGGACATACGCTGTTAGTATAATTTTCGCTGGGTCTCAATTTATTTTATCTATTTTTGGTTTGAAAGATGCTTATTATAAGGAAGATGCATTTCTCGTATTAGCAGTTTATTTTACGTTGTTAACCTTCTGTGGTTTCGTCAATTTTAAATTCGCTAAATATTTAGAAAAGATTAACAAAGTTTGTATTATATGGTCTATTTCAACTGTCTTAACTATTGATTTTCTTCTAATATTTTTGCAAAAAAACCAATTCAATAGAAGAAATATTAACGAGATTTGATAATACTCGTTCTGGGTGGCCAGACCCTTTGGCATTTATGGTCGGATTACAGAGTCCTTCGTTTACTTTATCTGGATATGGTATGATATATTCCATGACAGATGAAGTAAAGAACCCAGAAAGAAACATGCCAAAGGGTACAATTAGCGCCATTCTATTGGCAGGGTTAACTGGAATTATCTTTATCATTCCTATACTTACCATATTACCAGAGCTTACATTATTACTAGACGAAACTCCGGAAATCATGCCAATTGACTTGATATTTAAGTTTGCTACAGAATCGTATTTAATATCATTTTTGTTGGTGCTTCTTTTGGTCGGAACTGTATTCTTTCAGGCCATTGCTGCATTAACGACTGCTTCTAGAACAACTTATGCATTTGCTCGTGATGGGGGTTTACCGTTTAAAAACTATTGGGTCGAAGTCAACTCCATTGAAGAATCTATTATTCCAAAAAATGCATTATTTTTATCAATGAGTGTTTGTGGAGCATTGTCTCTTTTGTCCTTGTTTTCTTCATCTGCATTCAATGCATTTATGGGGTCGTCAGTCATTTCTCTTGCATTAGCAAATGGAATACCTATTCTTTGCTTGATGCTAAATAAAAGAAAGAAGATTCACGGTGCTGCATTCCGCTTAAAAGGATTTGGATGGCTTGTCAACGGTCTATCCATTTTTTGGGTGGTTCTACTGTTCATAATTCTATGCTTACCACCCGTCATTAAGAACCTTACTTGGTTTACAATGAACTATGCCATAGTTGTCATCCTTGGTTTCGTGGGATTTGCTAGTTTAGGTTATAGAATATGGGGAATTGGTAGCTTTGAAGGGCCTCAAATAGACTACGACTATTTTGAGCTCCAAGAGTTAGGTAATAAGAATACACCATTTTCGGTAGATGATTCATTTATTCAGGGCATTGACGATGAAAACAACGACGACGATGCAATTACTGGATCTTCCGACGCTCAGTCAAACGTTACCAAACCAAGAGGCTTTGAGGATTAGTGAATTCGAGCAGAAAAGTTGTCGAATAAATATTAATTTAACTGCAAATCAAACCTCTTTTTATACTTTCGATATAGACGTTATAAACTTTTATAAATACATGTAATATAGTTCAAATGAGTTATTTTCATTGATTTCATCTTTAATTTTTATGAGTTTCCGTAATCTGGTTTGATAAGAGCTATCTTTCAATAACAGAAAAAGGTCTAGTTTACAATTTTATAGGATATTATGCAACATCTCAAAATATTACAAGAACATTTCTAGCACAACAAATTAATTTATATTTCCACAAAGTAAATACCAACCCCATGGTTGAATTCAGCAACATCACATCATATCAATGACCTTGCGTCTACTTTCAATACCATTTGCAGCATAACCTATTCAGGAATATTAGTTAGTATATACTGGTTTAAAATATACGCGGAAGTTTTGAGGGCCGGTGTAAAAGAGGTACTGAAAATTTTTTGATCTTATGGAAAATCCGAGTAATATTAGATAAAGAGCAGGTATTTACTAGGTATATATAGTACTTTAACTTGAATATCATTCATAAAACATAATATAAATAATAATGTCTGCAGATCATACGAGAGATCCATGTCCTATTGTCATTTTAAATGATTTCGGTGGTGCCTTTGCTATGGGTGTCATTGGTGGTTGCGTCTGGCACGGTATCAAAGGTTTCCGTAACTCTCCTTACGGTGAAAGAGGATACGGTTCTATATCAGCTATTAAGTCTCGTGCACCAGTTGTTGGTGGTAATTTCGGTGTCTGGGGTGGTTTGTTCTCTACTTTCGACTGTTCTGTCAAGGCTGTGAGAAAGAGAGAAGATGCCTGGAACGCTGTCATTGCCGGTTTCTTCACCGGTGGTGCCTTGGCTATCAGAGGTGGTTGGAGACACACCAGAAACTCGGCTATCACTTGTGCTTGTTTGTTGGGTGTTTTTGAAGGTGTTGGTATGATGATGCAAAGAGTTATGGCCCAACCTACAGTGGCACCAGCATACCCAGAAGAGGCTGCACCATTAGCTGCTTAAGCTCCATGAAGCACAAACTACCAGATCCTGTTTCATCACCCCTTTCCTAACTACTACTCCATTGCCACCCATCATTACATTATATCAACGAGAGAAATGAGTCACAATAAAATCTTGTATATACTTGCTGTATTTTTCCTATTTAATTTTTCTACATTACAAAGCTATACGAATATACAATAGTCTACGTTACCATAAGATAGGATTACCTTCCACTTTCCAAGTAGAATTCTAATGTAGTATCTAGTCATATTTCAGAGTTTAAAAATTTCACGTGACTTGATAGGTGAATCGAGAGTCAACCATATACCAGTTGAGGAGAACACAGGAAGAATAACCATAGTACTTTCTTCTAGCAATAAGGAACCATTTGATATAAATTATCGTTATTTGAAGTCAAGGCTTAATTGTTAGTTGCTCTACTATCAGATGTCTTACAATTTTAATTATAACAGGCACAATTCTTTAGGGGGAAATTGGCAATTACCCCCTCCGTATGGATTGAACGGTAACGAACAAACACCGCCGTTAACAGATAATGCAGCAGGGGTACAAGACCCACAGAGAGCAGCACAAGCAAACCAAATGCCCGGATTCAGGAATCCGTGGTATACGTCAAATCAAGCGCCAAGCGGTATAATTACGTCTCCAAATATGTCACAATCACCTACCAAGGGTCAACAAGCAATTCCGCTTCTACAACAACAAAATAAGAGAATGTCATTTGCTAACCAGCTACCAACGACGTACGAGTATGATGGACAAAGACCTTCAAATGCTCCACCGTTTATTCATCCGCCTACAAGAGTGGATAATCCCTTCAATCAATATTACACTAATCAGGAAGTGAATTTGGGACATGTCGATAGAAGGATGTCGGCGGTTGCAGATGGTGCATATTATAGTGCTAATGGATATAATGCGTATCCCCCTGAATCAACTGAAACTGAGTTTCAGTCACAATACATACAAAATGTTCCTCTCTACAGTCAAGGGTTGAATAGAAGATCGTCAGTTGCAACAGCTAATTACCACCAAACTCCACCTAATACACATGTTAACTACCACCATCAGCCAGCCAAAGTTGGTAGGTCTGCGCTGATCGTACAATATCAGCAGTATCAAGAAGCATTGCAGAATCAACTCCAAACAACGAAGAGAAAAGCAGCTCCTAAAGCCAGAAAGATATATAATAAGTACGACTTGAAACCTAAAGTACATCATCAACCGAAATATCGTCGTTGCTCTGTCAATTCTATTCATATTTCACCAGTAAACGCGTTGTCGATCTACATTACAGAATCATACAGAATATGCCAACCTAAGAAATTCCAATATTGCAAATCGACTAATCCAAAGAGGGTACTAACAAAACCGCTGGATCCTAAGTACAATAACGGATTTGATAATGAAGACAGTGATTATATATTATACGTGAATGATATATTGGGAACGGATGAAGGAAGGAAATATATTGTTTTAGATTTATTAGGATCAGGGACTTTTGGTCAAGTTGTTAAATGTCAAAATCTAACGAACCAATCAGTTTGTGCCATAAAAGTCATTAAATCTAAACCGGCTTATATGAATCAGTCATTGACAGAAGTTAAATTACTTGAATATTTAAACTCAAATAGTAACAGTAAACGGTTCATTCGTTTGTTGGATACTTTCATGCACAAAGAGCATTTATGTTTAGTATTTGAGTTGTTAGCATCTAATTTGTATGAATTAATTAAGCAAAATCAATTCCAAGGGCTCAATATGAAATTAGTGAAGTTGCTTACAAGGCAGTTATTGGAAGCAATGGCTGAATTGAAAGGATTTCAAATGATACATTGTGATCTAAAACCGGAAAATATATTGCTCTTCCAACCAGATAAACCAGATATTAAGGTTATTGACTTTGGTTCAGCTTGCTTCACCAGACAGACAGTATACTCGTATATACAATCTAGATTTTACAGGTCTCCCGAAGTAATATTGGGTTTGCCATATACCGAATCTATTGATATGTGGTCGTTGGGATGTATTGTCGGAGAATTATTTTTGGGGTTGCCAATGTTTCCAGGCACATCAGAGTTTAATCAGATTTGGAAAATTGTCGACATGTTGGGCTACCCAGCAAGGCATATGATTGAGGTTGGCCGCAACTCCTTAAATTTCTTCAATAAATTTCCTCCAAGTATACCTGACGGAAAACCAGTCTTTAGAATAAAGACATTAGAAGAGTATTTTCAATTTTTAGCAAGCGCTAAAGGAAAAGAAGACCAAATAAAGAAAGAACAACCAAATAAAAATTACTTTAAACATCGTTTGTTGAAGGATATAATAATGAATTATAAATTACCTTCTAAGAAAATGACGAACTCCATGATCGAGAAGGAATGTCAAGAGAGGCTTTTACTTGTTGATTTCTTATCCAAGGTGCTTAATTTGAATCCTTTGGAAAGGCTTACTCCACAAGAAGCGTTGAAGCACCCTTTTGTTAGTGATGTTTCTTTGCATCACTCATCTGCAGCATCCGCAAATTCTTCTGGCGACCGCTCGGCGAACCACACTGATTATTCGGATACTACAAAAGAAGGTAAAACTCTTTCTGGGAGTACTGGAAGTATGTCTAATTCTTCGAGAACATCAATTCCTTCAGAAATATAAACTGATGAATTGCGTTGTGTAATATTATCTTCCGTTAACTTTTAACTTCAATAGATAGTAAGACTCTTAATACCAACATTTCGTGCGCGAACCACAAAATTGGATATGAACGAATATCAAAATTATCGTTATTCAGTAGAAAGCGACTGTGTAAATATATCAGCGATATAGACTTTTCAGCAAGCAAGGAATATAATATCTAACTCAGATCGGAAATTTAGAGTTTTTTCTTTTGTAAACTAAATTGTGTTGAAAAGTAAATAGAATACAATATGAATGTTAGTACAAGTGCATTAGGTGTGAGAAGAAGAAAACCAACCACACAAAATATAGATGATGAAGAGAACGCTGCCACTTTGCTGTTGGGCCCCGAGTTCCAGCTTACACAGCTAACAAATTCTGGTGAAGAAGAACAATTAATCGCCTTGAATTTATCGGAGGCTAGATTATTGATCAGGGCCGCTTTAAAAGAACGTAAAAATAAAAACCAAGCAAATAGAGAATTTGAAGATGAAGACGATGATAATGCCAAAGAAGACGAAATTTCAAATATGGATTTAGCAGGGCCAAATTCAAATGAAATAATGCATAAAACATTAAACTACTTATCCAATTTTTCTAGATTTAAAAACTCCTCATCCACAGAAACCGTTGAAAAATTATTAAACGACTTTAATTTTTCTACATCGGAACCGTTACATCCATTTGAATTAGCTCAACTCGGAACTTTGGAGTGTGAAGATGCAGAAGAAGCCAAATCTTTGATTCCTAGTTTGACTAATAAAGTTTCCGATGTTCAATTGCAAACTCTTTTAACTGAATTAAGGAAGTACCAAACATTATCCTGAGTTACTCATTATTTGAGATTGTCTTATAGTTTATAAATATTTAGATAAATGTATTATATTTTACTTCAACCTATACTTTAGTATAAAATTATTTTGTATGCAGTTCAATATTGAGAGTCTATTTTTCACGATGTGATTATCAGTTCAAGTCATATATAGATACATATAAATATATATATATATATTCACATCAGGCACCTGATATACTTACTATGGACGAAGATGAATTATATGATGAATTTGGTAACTTAATTGGTGACCCGCTAGATTCAGATGCAGATTCCTTAGATGACATACCAGATGAACAATATGTGCAATCAGAGAATGAAGCAGAAGATTCGACAATTGAAACAGAGACCGAAGCCTTAGTGATACATGAAAATAATGGAAATGGGCTCAAGCTATCTGAAAAATTTGGGCCGGGGGTTGAAACTATAATAGCAAAGCCATACGAACAAACAGAGGATGCACCGGTTATTATACCTGCAAATAAGAAGAAATTGAAGGTAGAGTTCACTGAACCTGTTATGAATAACGTTGATGAAGATGATAATAGAGTTAAGAATTTACCAGAACTTGTTTACTCGCGTGATTATATGATATCTACTATGAACCTGCTTCCAGAAAGGGTTAGAAACATAGCAGTAATTGGTAATTTCCACTCAGGGAAAACAACATTTATCGATATGCTTGTTTTACAAACTCACTCACCATCGATTTCTTTGAGTAGTAATTTGAAAAATTTTCAACCCCTTCGATTTATGGATAATCATAAGTTGGAAATCGACAGAGGTATCTCAATTGAAGCATCACCTATTACATTATTATTACCAGACTTAAATGAGAGGTCTTTTATTTTTAACATTATAGATACGCCTGGTCACAGCAACTTTGCGTCTGAAAGTACGTCGGCTTTGCAGATAGTTGATGGTGCACTTCTCGTAATAGACGTGCTTGAAGGGTTAACCCCCAGAGATAAAAGCTTAATCTCAGAACTTATGAAAAACAATACACCTATAACAATTGTTTTGAACAAAATTGACAGACTCATACTAGAATTAAGGTTACCTGTAGAAGACTTTTATTTTAAAATTAATTACACTTTGGATGATATTAACAATTTTATAAATGAAAATGAGTACATAAGTACTTATGGGAAACAACTGGTATTCAGCCCAACAGAAGGAAATGTTATTTTTGCATCTTCAAGTTTAGAGTTCGTTTTTACCTTGGATAGTTTTACAAAACTATATACTAATAACCACAAATTAAAAGGTGTTGATTCTTATGAATTTAGTCGAAGACTATGGGGTGATGTGTTTTATAACTCGGATAAGGCCCAATTTGTTAATAGTTCAAATAATGGGAAATTTCCTAGGTCTTTCAACTTTTTTATTTTGGAGCCTATTTATAAAATAATAACTCAGACATTAACTTATGATGGCACCAGTGAGAAACTAGCAAATTTATTATGGGACAACTTCAAAGTTACATTACATAATTCTCAGTATAAACAAGATTCACAGATGCTTTTGAAAGCAATATTTAAGCTGGTTTTCTCCGGTTCAAAGGGTTTTGTTGACCTGGTGGTTAATAATATTCCATCTCCGACGGAGAAGGTGTCAGATAGATTGAAATTACTTTCCAGTTCAGAAAATGCATCTTCGACTACATTAATAGCTCAGGCAAATAAATTAATTGCCTCGGCTAATGGTGAAAGGTTTTATTCGTTAGTCCGCATATATCAAGGCTCAATAAAGACTGGGACAAAGGTGCGAGTGTTAGGACAGAACTACGAAGAAGATGACGATGATTTCAGAATAGAAGTTGTGGATGAATTATTTGTTCCAGGTGGAAGGTACAAAATTCCTGTTAAGGAAGCATTTGCTGGATCGATTGTATTGATAAGTGGAATCGATTCAATCATTTCTAAAGGTGCAACCCTATATGATAATACTGATTTGCCGAGTGATTTCAAAATTTTTAGGCCTTCATCATATGAAAGACAATCTGTTTTCAAAGTTGCGATAGAGCCTGCGAACCCTTCGGAGTTACCTAAATTATTGGAAGGACTACGCAAGCTTAATAAAGCATACTTAGCATGTACAATTAAAGTAGAAGAAAGTGGAGAACATGTTCTATTTGGTCCCGGTGAAATATATTTGGATTGTATGTTACATGATTTGAGGAATTTTTTCACTGATGATTTGGAAATCAAAGTAAGCGATCCTATGACAAAATTCAGTGAAACATGTATTGATACCTCGGCAATCAAAATATCGACTAAATCATCATCAGGAAACAATTCGATATCTATTATTGCCGAGCCGGTTAATGATAATAGATTGAGCGAAGCTATCGAAAGAGGTATAATAAATCTATCTCAACCATTAAAATCTACTTCTAAAATTTTGCGTAAAGAATTTGGATGGGATGCATTATCAGCGCGATCAGTTTGGTGCTTTGGGCCTGAAGACCTTCATAATCCAAGTATTTTAATAGATGATACATTAGAGGGTGAAACCGACAAAAAGTTGTTGTATTCGCTTAAAGACAGTATAAACTTAGGATTTAGATGGAGTGTTAATGAGGGACCTTTATGTGATGAACCTATAAGAAATACAAAGTTTAAAATATTGGATGCGGTGATAAGTGGGTCGGAAATACAAAGAAGTGGAACGCAGATAATACCAATGACTAGGAAGGCATGTAATACCGGCTTTTTGACTGCATCTCCCCGCTTAATGGAACCAATATATACGGTTTACGTGACATGCTCTTATGGAGCCATCACAGCTGTAAAAAAATTGCTTGGTAGAAGAAGAGGGATGGTCATGACTGAAAATCCAGTACCTGGAACTCAATTATTCCACATAGAGGGCCAAGTTCCTGTTATAGAATCTGTTGGATTAGAGTCTGATTTGAGACTTCATACGCAAGGACAGGCTATGTGCTTCTTAGTATTCGAAAAATGGGATGTTGTTCCTGGAGATCCATTAGATAGTGATTGTTACTTACCATCACTTAGACCTGTTCCGAATGCATCGTTAGCGAGAGACTTTGTTATGAAAACCAGGAAGAGAAAAGGTTTGAGCGGCGAACCTAATTTACAAAAGTATATTGACGTTGAATTATATAATAAGTTAAGAGAGAGTGGTATTATAGAATAGGAAAGCTATGAACATTAACATTGGTGAAGGAGAAAAATGTATTAAAATACAAGTTATATACTCTCTATATAATTATATACTAATCTTCACCCGTTTGGTTTGCTGTGTATCTGTTTCGTCGCTAGAACTTAACGATTGTCGCTTATGTAAATTTTCAGTAGATGACTTAGCAGACGATTCAGATTCAATAGCTGTCTGATCAAAAATAGGTTGTTTCAGACCAATAGAATTAAATCCTCTCCCTTCTCGAATTCTTTCAGATAAGTTATTGAAATTGGTAATAAATCTAGTTTGACTAGTTAAAAGGAATGATATTGAATTTTGAGTTAGCTCTTCGCCAGCATTTATAGAATTGGATTTTAAATTTTCAAATGATACTATAAAATCCTCTATAGTTATATCGCGAGAATAAATATTGTCCTCAGTAATTGATAAATTATTCAATTCAGGAATTACGAGTACTAATTCTTTGTTAACTGTAAATTGATGAATTTCATTTAAATCTTCATTTGTCCTCATTAGCCCAAAAAATTCTTCTATTGTCAATTTCAAGATGTCATAGTCATCATACAAGGAAACCAAATGAGATACATCAATTTCGGGGTTCATGTGTTTATCGAATGGAACTAAGAGAAATTCCGTCTCAGCAATGTTAATAATAATTGGAAATGTACATTCTAATTTAGAATGGGGTATTCTTGTTTGGGTATTTACGTTAGGCATCCTTTCATTATCTGAACGACTTTCGGCCGTTTGATTATTTTTATCAATTACTATCTTTTCATATTGCTCCTCCTGTATATCATTCGGTACTTCTCTTTCTTCTTCATCTCCATCTTTTACTTCATCTTCATCTTTTACTTTTTCTTCTTCATCTGCTTCATCTGCTTCATCTGCTTCGTCTGCTTCGTCTGCTTCGTCTGCTTCGTCTGCTTCGTCTGCTTCGTCTGCTTCGTCTGCTTCGTCTGCTACTCTTACCACTTCTTTTTTATAGTTGTTCTCGTACACTTGATCATTTCCAGCTTTATCTTGACCTTCATTATTTAACTCTTCAAATATTTCTTGATTAGATTTCGCATTGACTCCAGCTTCTTTATTTTCTTCATTTTCTGCAAGTTTATCCCGAACATCTCCATTTATCAATTCTTCGTTCTGTATTTCTATAAGCCCATCTTGATCGTTATATTTACTTTCCTCTTTCTTATACACAGAATTGTTCGACGGAGGCGGTATTTCTTGCACATCGTCATCTTCTTGATAATTGTTTAACTCGTCTAATTCAACCAAACTGTCGTTCGATAAATAATCTTCTTTCTCTTCCTCAACTATATCATTCGTTTCTTTATCAAATGTGTGATCTTCCTCCTCCAAATTTTCAATTTCGTCTTCACTATTAAATTCCACAGCAGAGTTTCTATAATTATCTTCATTGTCTCTGGTTTCTGTTTCATTTAATTCTGTATCCATCTCCTCCTCTCCACTAGATATTAATTCGTCTTCTATCTCGAGTATTCCTTCTCCTTCAATTATTGCATCAGTTTGCTTATCAGATATGTCTTCATCGGCGGTCATATTATAATCGTTCTCTTGGAGTCCATCTACGGTATCAATCTCAATTGCTGTACTTTCTTCTTTCAATGCGGGATCCTCCTGCTTCTGATCATTGTTAGAATATTCAGATACTTTATACATACTTTGTTTAGGTTGTCAAATGACTCTATGTATCAACTTTTCCCATCACCTAAAATATCTTTTTGAGATTATTATACACTGTTTCACGTGAAAATATATATATATATATTCTAATATTATAAATTATACAAGTATTAAGTTACTTCCACTATAAACTAAGCCTTTCGCAATAGTCCATATAATTTGAATTAAGGAAACTTAATGAATTGAAAGGTTTAAGTAGATGAATAAAATCAAATTTATGGTACCCAAACTTTGAATGACAGGGGCGTATCTAATGATAATGGTTTGACAATATTGTTTTCCCTATCGGCAGTATTTTTACTATTTATGTTGCCGTTCTCGGTATCTTCACTAGAAGGATTATTTGGTTTATTACTTGTATCATTTGATTGTTTGTCAACTGTGCTTTGAATCAAAGAATGTCTATTTGGTTTGTAAAGGAGTGATTGGACGTCTGCTAAGATACTAGAAACATCGCCTAATTCGCCAATATCCTGAGTCTTTTGCTGGATCATTGAAATGGCATCATTTAATTTCTTGGTAATATGGATAGTTGATTTGGTTAATGCCAAACGATCAATAAAAACTTCTTCTTGTTGTTTGGCCAAATGCTTCCTTTCTTTCTCGTATATTTTTTCCAATTCATCAACTTTCTTCAATTTTAAGTCAAGCTTGGAAATTTGATTATTAACAACTGTGTTCGTTAATTTATTTAATTCTCGCTCTTCATAATTAGCAAACAAATGACTTCTTGCCCCAACAATTCCAAATGTATTGGATGATGCATCTTTAATGATTTGAAGAGGATCGGTGTTTCCGTTTTTATATTCATCTATCAAATCAATATCTGCTTGAGGTTTAGGCAATGTGCCACCAACATTTCCATTTTGCTCGTTAGTACCATTGGATTTGACTTCTTCATTTTGTTTATTATCATCCGCAGAAGAATCTTTCTCTTCCTTTTTATCATCATCGATACTCATTTCCGTATCCATATCCTTCTTTGGCGAACTTTTACTAGCACCTTCTTGTTTGTTTTCTAAACCATCAGTGGCTTTACCATCATCAGATTCTTCGGGTTTGTTTTCCTGTTTTACGCCATCTACCTTTGATTGATCTGTTTCTCCAAAAGCCTTTCTAATTTTTTCTACAGCTTTGATATCCATAACTTTACAAGCCCTTTCACTTGCTGCCCTTGCTACATCACTATCCACTAATTGAGTCATAAATGCCAAATTACTGAGAACAGGATTATCAACTGAACTGATCGGAAAATTAGATGAATATTTCAAAAATCCCAACTCTTTGTCAGTTAAATTATTAAAATTGTCTTCAATCGGCAATTTGAGGAATTTTAAAATACATTCTTGCGGAGTCTTAGTCGAAACATTTTTCGAAATCTTATACCAATCATTTGGAAAATCTTTTACACCCAAAATCAATTTTGAAATTTCTTTATCACTCCAACCATCGTTACTAGATTTGTGCTTCTTCTGAGGTGGTTCAGATGGCTCCTTCTCTAAATTGTCGACATCTTTGGTATCGCTAGATGACTTAATCTCATTGTTTATAGGTTGATCCGGAGCCTGTTCAAGGTCCAATAGTTTCTTAAGTTTTGAAATGTCAAGACGGTCACCATTAAATTTGTGGGTGTCGAAGGGGAATAATCCTCTTGGGGTATCGTACGTAACATGGAAATTACCAGTATAGGGCAAACCAATCTGAGAGCCATTGGGTAATTTCTCAAGAGCGTAACCTGGTTTGAAATTAGGATCAACTTGATAATTTATTAACCCCCATTTGTTCAAAAATCTATGAACTCTCATGAGTGTTCCAACATCACCAACCAAGTTACGACGGCATGAAGTCAACGTAAGATATTCATTCGGGTTCAACCTATATGAATTTATCATGAAATTACGGTAATTAATATAAATTTTCGGAGATTTTGATGGGTGGGTGGTGTCAAAGAATTCAGGCAACGATTCCTTTTCAATCTTATGAATCTTGCTCATGTTGAACCAGCTGCAATACGATGGTAATATTATAGCATGTGTCTGGTTAATTGGGGTTTGATTCTCGGCATCTTTCGCCTTGTCGTCATCATCTTCGTCATCATCACCTTCATCTTCTTTTTCATCTTCCTTTTCATCTTCCTTTTCATCTTCCTTGTCATCGTCTTTATCATCCATGCCCTCATCTTCCTTATCATCGTCTTTATCATCCATGTCCTCATCTTTATCTTTTTCTTCATCCTGTTCTCCATCTTTCTCTTTTTTCTCTTCGTCGACCTCTTCACCATTCACTTTTTCATCTTTTTCTTGCGAACTGTCTGCTTTGTCTTCAGCTGCTTCGGATTTGTCCTTTTCAGATTGGTCATTATGCATTGATTCCTTATCAGATTCTTGTTGTGAATCTTCATTATCCCGAACTTCATCCACATCCATAGGTTCATTTTTACTTGGTATATTTGAATCTTCCTTGTCTTCTTCAACTTGCAATTCACTCTCCTCATTCACTTTCGAATCATTGTCAGCCAATCCTTCAGAATCTGGTTTGTCCATACCTTTATTGCTAATATCACTATCATCAAGTTTAGACTCACCTGATGCACTGCCTATATCCTTGTCGAGATCGATATTTTTTCCAGAAGCACCAGTTTCAGGTTTAGCATTTTCTTCTATCGCCTCAGGTGCTTCCGAATCCTGATTCGGGGTTTCTTCTGGTGAGCCAGCTACTATATCGTCATTTCTGTCGTCCTGCAAATGATCCAAACGTTCATCTGAACTCATTCTTGTCAATTGTGCTTGCTATTGTGCAATGTGTAATGAAATAGACGTTATATGTTCTAATCAGAACAAATTTGATAAACTAGGCGTTTTCTATTAATGCTATGTTGTATGCTATTGTTTACAAAATATTGTACTCAATTAATACCGCCAATATATTCGAATACACTTCCTGCAATACGTGACAGCGCTATTTCGTCTCTCACTTTGATAACGCGTTGATGAATGTATAGACTTCTCTGAAAATTCACCACTTGTGTAAATTACCCTATAGTATCGATATTTCACTCTCCTAGTACTGCTACTCGATGTATTGAAACGTCTAGGCTCTTAGAGAGATTAATCAGGCGGTATTATTAACGCTCTCATTTTTCGTTGTTGATTTTTTGTATGGCCTCTGCCATTTGTCGTGTACCCTGGAAAATCGGCCTAAGTGCGGTTAACTACTGTTATAGACCTTATATATTGAGAGTGAAGATAATCAAATATCCGACGACGACTATAACATTGTCTGGTAGCAATGAGTCTGGAAAAGAAGAAGAATAAGAAAAAAAAAATAATAGACCTGCCAGGGACAGAAATGCATTAAATGAAACTTAAATTCTAACTAAAAATAAAATAATAATCTGCCGGTTCCTAGACTTGCCCAAGGTCATATTCATTGGCTCATCTTGCATAATAGATGGGTTTGTAGTTACACCTTGCGTTATCAGCCGAGCAGATGGAGAATAATAGCGAATGCTTTTGTGACTTGCCCGAGCAAACAAGAGCAATTTTTTACCATGACCCTCTACCAATCAAGCAACCGGGTTTTGTAATCCTTGTGTCTACTAGACCACAGGCGTTACAGAGATCCGTCTAGTCGACTATTGCTTCCATACATCTTGTATGGTTATTTTTTTTCCATTTGGGGAACGTCTTCTAACCCTTACATTTAACCAACTATCGACCCGAAACCCCTTCGTACTTCTCAACATACCGGTCTTCAGGCGCGTGCTGCATAACTTGTCCACTCAATCGAGTCTATCACACTGCGGTGCTTATTCCGATAAGAATTTTAAAATTGGCTTGTTTGCATCAAATCCTAGCCCTCCGCAACCGGTCGCACTCGTATTTTGCATCATTGCCCGTTACGCCAAATTTCCCTAAATAAGCAAATGTCCTCTTACCTAACCCACCACCACAACTGGTCCCACCGCATGAATATGTCCGCTACAATTTGACCATTACGCCTTCATATCTACATTTATATCTCCATGCCTATTTCTATCACCATCCCTATCTACCTTTATTCTACACTCACTAGTTCTACAGCTCAAATATCTCTACCGTTCACTTCATCTCTACCCATTATACAGAGTAACTACCAAAACTTTACGGTTTTTGACTCAGCGCTCAAAGACATTCGATATTCGTCCTACTAAAATACTTACCACACTGGACCAAAGAAAGACCCTCTGGACTGCTTTAGTATTCTCTATAAATCATGTGCCACATAGGGTTCCCGCCCATATGTGACTGTTTTTCCCGCGACCTTGTCGGCCCCATTTTTTTTGGTTTTCTGGCGAGCGACCTGAGAGTCTGATTATGTAATTGTCCGCTCGGATTAGTGTGAACGCTAACACTGCGATCGTCAGCTGTACACAGGCAGGAATTTTCAGTTGGATAATGAAAATTTTCATGAAAAATTAAAGTAAATTTAAAGGTATTATACTATCACCAAAAGTTTAGTTTTAACAGATCAATTAAAAATGGTTCGTTACGGTGCTACATCAGCTAACCCAGCTAAATCAGCTTCTGCTCGTGGTTCATACTTAAGAGTTTCTTTCAAGAACACTCGTGAAACCGCCCAAGCCATCAACGGATGGAACTTGGAAAGAGCTCAAAAATACTTAGACCAAGTCTTAGACCACCAAAGAGCCATTCCATTCCGTCGTTTCAACTCATCTATTGGACGTACCGGTCAAGGTAAAGAATTTGGTGTCACCAAGGCTAGATGGCCAGCCAAGTCCGTTAACTTCATTAAGGACTTATTAAGAAACGGACAAGCTAATGCTGAAGTATGTATATTTAAAGACACAGTGAAGACACTAGAATGCAAAGCGAATAGAATACTAACATATATATAGGCCAAGGGTTTAGAAGTCTCTAAATTGAAGGTTTCCCACATTCAAGTTAACCAAGCTCCAAAACAAAGAAGAAGAACTTACAGAGCTCACGGTAGAATTAACGCTTACCAATCTTCCCCATGTCACATTGAATTAATCTTAACCGAAGAAAACGAAGCCGTTGAAAAGGCTGACGACTCAAAGAAGGTCAGATTAAACGTCAGACAAAGAGGTAGATTAGCTGCTCAAAAGCGTTTGACTGCTGCTTAAACTTATTGGAATAAATTATAATTCAAACGTTAGGTTTATAATCATATCAATATTTTAAGTTAAAATTTCTATGACATTATGTTTAATTTATAAGAAGTTTTATTTTAATGGGTTTTAGTGTCGTTCTATCTTTTTTTGTACATTTAATAAATTACTATAAAAGTTTTATATCATTCTTCTGGCCCTTACATGTGCCTTGTAGCTAGATCTATTTGCCTTAACATCGTGTAATACATCTTCTAGTCTCTGTAATGACATCTATACACCCGAGAACTCCTTCACTAGTAGTGGTTAGCTTGGTACTGATAATTACGCGCATCCTTCCATTTAGTGCGAACTCTACGCGTAAATCGTGGTATTCCTAATTCAGCCAATAGTTTGTTAGTGAAAAACTACTCTCAAATAATCAAATACAAGCGTTAGACTTATTATCAACTACTTCAGTTAAATAATTAATATAGTATTAAAATGGCTGGTGCAGGTCCAAAGGCTTATATGGGATGGTGGGGTAACATTGGTTCCCCAAAGCAAAAATACGTTACTACTTATACCGTTTCTCCATATGCTACTAAACCATTGAAGGGTGCTTTATACAACTCTGTTTTCAACGTTTTCAGAAGAGTCAAGAACCAAACCTTATTCATTGTTATCCCAGGTGTTATTGTCTGGAATGTCTGGGCCAAGGCTAGAGACTACAATGAATACTTGTACACTAAGGCAGGTAGAGAAGATTTAGAAAAGGCTAACGCTTAATTTCACTTTGCTCTAAAGAGTTTAAAAACCATTTGGTTGAAAGCATTGAAGGTTAACTAGCTTATAAAACGACTAGTTCAAGAGTTATTTACATTAAATCATTTTATTTATAAGTTAATAAATCGCGTTTATTTAATCCTTAGTGTAGGACAAGGTCTATTTTTCTATGTATCTATTTCGAACGCTTGTAGACTTTGCTTAAGAAGGAGGTTAAAACTTCCTTCTTCAAGCCTCTTGATTCGTCGATTTGTTCGATTTGCTTTCTTAACTTAGCACCAATATCTTCTTCGTAGTCATAATAGATCTTTTCGATGCCCAAGTCCTTAAATAATTGTTTACATCTTTTCTCGGATTCATCATCTTTCTTACCGTAATTTTCGTCTAACAACTTACGTTGTTCTTCGTTAGCCTGTAATAAAGCTTGGTTGACAACCCAAGAACACTTGTTGTCTTTAATATCGGTACCAATCTTACCGATTTGCTCTGGTGTACCAAAGCAGTCCAAGAAATCATCTTGGATTTGGAAGTATTCACCTAATGGGATCAATACATCACGAACTTGCTTTAAATCTTCTTCGCTGTTAATTCCACTCATATACATGGCTAATGCAACAGGTAAATAAAATGAGTAGTAGGCGGTTTTGTAAATAACGATGAATGAATGCTTCGACAATGAGAACTTACTAAGGTCGACAATCTCTTCATCAGCAGTAATCAAATCTATCAATTGACCTAATTCAGTTTGGAATGTAACTTCGTGGAACAAGTCTAATAAATCGACATAGTATTTTTCATTACGGAAGTGCTTCTTCAACAAAATGTAAAGAGCACCTTCTAACATAAAGGAGTCATTAATGGCAATGTTTCCAACACCATCCTTCAAGTACCAACAAGGTTGACCTCTTCTTGTCTTGGAATGATCCATCATATCATCGGCAACTAAGAAGTAAGCTTGTAATAATTCAATACACCATCCTAACAAGGCAACCTTAGAATATTCTTCAGCAGGTAAATCGTTAGCTGTGGTGTTATTTAAAATACAATAAGTGTCGATCACAGACAACCCTCTGTTTAATTTACCACCTGGGGTGTTGTAGTTCAAGTTACCAACAAACCAGTCAATAGCGTCTTGTGGCATCTTATATCCAACTAAAATAGCCTTTAACTCTTCGACCAATTGGTCGAATTCATTAGTAAATCTTTCCCTTGCAGCAGCCTTATCCATTATGATATGATCCTATATATGTTACTGCAAGAAAGTTAGAAGAAAATCAAAGTTTATCGTATATGGTTTTTTTTTCAGCGAGAGACCCGCGCGGGAACGAGAACTATTTTTCTTACAAGTAATAATATTAAACGAACAAATGATATATCTATAAATACATATTAACTAACAGTTTATCTTCTAGAACGCTTGCTCTTTCCTGGTCTAGATTTACCTTTCATTTTCTTAGAAGAAAAGTCACTGATATCAGCAGAAGATTGTGCATCGTTAGCTCTGCTACCCCTTTTCTTACCACCAAAGCCATATTTAGAGTCTTTGCCTAATCTCTTAGAATTTGGCTTTCTTCTCTTGCTATCACCACCTCTATCTTCACGAGTTGCTTCCTCTAACGCAATCTGGAAGTCGTCATCATTACTTAATTCATTATTAGCACCTTTTCTCTTTAATGACTTAATCTTGTCTAATGTTTCTTTCTTTTGCTTAGCTCTTTCTTGTAATGTATTATTTTGGACTTGCTTACCAAACTTCTTCAAGTGTCTTTGTTTCTTAGCATCTTCTGAGGCTTTCTTGTTTGCAGCTTCAGTCAATAACTTGCTCTTCAATTTATCCATATGCTCATCGCTTTTAATCATTTCTGCAAAGTAATCCATTGGTCTGGAGAATGGTACCTTTAATTTAGTTAATGCAGCCTTACCTTGTTTAACAGCATCTAAGCCTTGCTTATAAAATGCCAATTCTCTTTCAGTATCATCATAAATATCTTTGATTTCGGTTTCAGTCTTTTCAGCACTCGTGATAGATTGATGTTCTTGGAACGAATGTTTGGACCATGGTAACTCAATACGTGCCAATGAATCCCTCAATGCAGCCATGTTATTTATGGTTAATTTGGTGTGTGGAACAATATCTGCGTCCTCATCTATTTCAACATCTGATAAAGGAATATCTTCTTCTTCTTCTTCCTTTTCATCTTCTTGAACGTCTTCTTCTTCTTCTTCGTCAGATTCTTCATCAGACTCGTCATCGTTTATGTCACTTTCGCTTTCACTTGCAGCTAGCTTTTCTAAGTCTAATCCTTCAGAGTCAGAATCCTCCTCGATTTCTTCCTCGACTTCTTCGACTTCTTCTTCCGAAGGTGCACTCTCAGTAGCTTGTAACTTCTTTAATCTTCTTTGTTCTTTCTTAGACAAAGCACTGCTTTGGTAATCATCTTGATTCTTAGCTTTCTTTTCCTTTTTTTCCTTCTTAACCTTCGATGGCTTGATTTGCTCAGGTAATGGCTTAACCTCAATTTCCTTTATTTCTTCTGTCTTCTTGACTACAGGCTTTGATTTTGATTTGTCTATAGACTCAATCAACTGCTGGTTCTTTAACAGAGACTTTAATTTACCTCCTTTAGCCATATTTAATAACGTTATCTGTTAGCACAATATAGTGAATAATTTTATATACTAGAAAAATTTATATACTCGCGATGGGGTTGATGCAAAATGAAAAATTCAAATATGCTTATACACGACTGTCTAACTTAGCCTTAGGTTATATCTTGTTAAAATGTATATTAAATAGATAAGTACCTAATTGTTGAATGTGTAGTCAATTTCATTTAAGAACCTTTTACCTGACCCATATCTCCACCATCTACTCAAGCAACTGAAAGGCTGGATATCATGAGGTGTCTCTGGATCGTGATTTTCAAGATCTTTAGTCTTACATACACATCGTTTTGATGCAAGTACGTCAATCGACGTAGGACAGGCTAAATACGGTACATGAAAGTACCCTATATCTTCAAAGTGGTGTATGCTATCTTTATCGGCTAGTAAATTTAACCCTATAGAATGAACAGGGGCATCTCCCCATCTTTCGTAGAAAAACCCACCTGCTTTATCCAAGTAATTGAAGTATGTCTCGTAGGCTTCACTTCTAAAAAAGTTTAGGCTACCAATTTCAAAGTTGGACCAAAAATGACAGAGGTTGTATGAGGTATTCGATTCGGGTAGCTCGAAATTGTAGTTCAAAGAAGTCTCATTAGAGGTGATAAACTCTATGGAATTATTAGGGTGAATTAAATCTTTGTGATCACGCATGAAGTTCTCGACAGTGGGCCACAACGATGGCATTGTATTTTCATAGTCGTGAATAGCTAGGACAAACCCGTATATCTTATTATTTTCTCTCAATAACGTAAAAGGGTCATACTGAAAATCACACATGTATTTGACATCAGGCTCTACCCTAAAATACCAATCATAATTTAATAATCTTTTTTGTTTATAAAAATATCCTGAGTTGAAGTGACACATATTCCTGTAAGACCATGATCCACCATAAATAACGCCATCTTGGTGTGCTTTCAATAATTTTTCTTCCATTATATCCTTGTCAATAAACGATGGTGGTTCCCAGTCCTCACTAGGTATTAATTCATAATATGTTTGGCCACTGGCCATTAATGTAGTTTGTTCTATAAAATCAGTATCAAACGGCTTGTCATTTAAGAATACCCATGGATATCTATAATTTCTATTGAATCTATCTTCTAATGACCTCATTGATTGCAATGCACCTTTCAACTCCCGATTTCGTACTAACATCACCATTGTAGCATTTTCCTGGCCTTTTTGGCTTCTATCCCTGAAGGGAAAATCATTAGGTAAATATGAATTTGAAGATAATTTATGTGATCCCTTCTTTTGAAGCTCGATTTTAATATTAGGTACTGAAAAACTTGGAAGGCTATCAATCCAAGGAAAGGTAAAATTCCACGAAGCCTTACTGGGATTAAAAATCGTATTCAAATCTTCATTGTGAAATTTATATGCATAACTATTATTAGATATGTAATGTGTTACAATACTGTAGTATATTCCCCATAAACAGACTAATGTAGGTATTAAATAATATCTATTATACATAATATTCTTGGTCCATTCTGCTGTAAGTTGATTCTTATCAAATCTAAAATTTATCTCAAATTCAGTCCGAGCGATGTTCTAAACATTTCACAGCCAACACAAATTTTATATTATACATATATTATACATATATTATAAATGCATATTACTTAGATCATTTTATATATTTTCTAATGTATTGTCGTTTACATCGTTGATTTCGTTTTATTAATTTTTAATATTTTAGTGATCACAGATTGGTCATTTCTTCAAAATTATGCAATTATTCTTAGTTTATAGGAAAATGAAGGATATTTCTAATTTGAATTAGATATTATGTTTATTCTTGTTAAGTATTATACTTAAAGTAAACATTGTAATGTATTGCTTATATGAATTTAAAAAATGTTGGCATTTTTTCAATTGTGGGTGAGAATTAAATTTTTGCAACAATATAATTTACTACATAACAATTAATGCAGAACAATATGGAGACTATGAATCTGTCTAAAAATCTTGATATAGAAGTGTGTTTGAGACCTTGGGTTACGCTTTTACCTTTTTGTAACTCCCGTACTAAGACTTACGAAAGAAAGGGGACCAATGTTGGCTTTGCTGAAATTTTGCAAATATTGAAAGTATCTATAGTCTTTTATCTTGAAAAAGTAATTGAACTACAGCCAAATACTAATATCTTCCTTAGACCAACAAAGATCAATGGAAATATATTTCAGAAGTATTTTGATATGAATTTTCTTGAAGGAAAAGAAATAAGCTCCGAAGAAGGTGCTTTTCTCTTATTGCATGAAATGGATATAAATAGCCAGTTTGATTCATTCCAAATTAAAATAATAGTCGAAGGATGCATTCAGGTAATATGTGTAGGTGATATTTTTCAAAAGAGATCATACTATAATCATATGAGGCTTAATTACTCGAATAGCATCAAAGATATACTTTTCAATGGACCTCATGTAGATAATAAAGAAAAAGTGATTTTTCTGGTGCCCCCGTTTCTCCATCAGCAAAAATCTAGCATGAGTTTCAAACTGCTAAAGCCAAAATGTACTGAAGCTAGTCAAATTAGCAAAAATAGGGACAGAAAGGAATGTACCTACATAAACAGAATAAATTTTGCTGGCAAAAGATTCTTGTCAACCAATTCAGTCAATGTCAATTATGTATTTTTTCAATGTCCAGAAGAGCAAGCTAGAGAGTTAGAAAATGGACCATTGGATAGTATTATAGATATAATCAATCTTTATAACGGAATTATAGAGGGCAAAGGAAACTATGACATTGAAGGCCTGCTCCGAAATACATATTTCGAGAAAGAAAGCACAGAAAATAAGAATTGTAGTACGAGAAAGATTTACGAAGACCCGTCTTCAGAAGAAGAATATGGGATCGATCAGACAAATAATATGTACCTTGGCTACTCTAAGAGTTTTCAACCTAAATTGACAAAGGCATTATTAGATTTAAACAAGTCTATTCCCATGGAAAATATCTCAATGAGAGCATCGGATTTTATAACCATTACACCTTTACCTAACGAAAAATTAATAGGTTCATGGGAGAAATTGAAGATGAAAGATAATTTGAAGCAAAGAATCTATAATACTATTAAGGTTCTGTTGTGTCTATCGAATATTCTCAACTCCAAGAAGAGTTTTGTTGACGAGACTTTTTCAGCACAGGACAAACTCCTCTTGCTACATGGGCCACCCGGGACGGGCAAATCTTCATTAGCTAGAGCTATATTTCAGAAATTTTCAGTAAAATTTATCAACTCTATAAAAGACCCAATTGATCTTCCACCTATATTACTATTGGAATTAGCACCTGATAAGATATATTCTCGCTATTACGGAGAGTCTCCGAAGAAACTATCCATGTTGTTCACCGCTATCGAAACCACTTTAAGGAAAGGAATACACGGAGGATTTATTTTTATGATAATCGATGAAATTGAATCTCTTGCAACTGAAAGATCCACGCTAATAACAAATAACGAAACAACTGACGGCGTACGCATGGTCAATATTCTACTAACCCATTTGGATAAATTAAGACACTACAAGAATTTTTTCATGATAGGAACATCCAACCTCATAGAATCAGTTGACAGCGCATTCAAGGATCGGGCTAGCGCATTATACAAAATCCCATTACCGAACGAAGAAATAATCTACAGCATACTTGAACAACAAATCACCCATTTTCTAGATCTGGGGTTTCTCTACCAAAAGAGCGGACTCGATTCAAAATCAACTACATCGACCACACCTTGCAGCTCATCCTTAACTCAATACTCCTCGAAGTTGTTGAGCCAAATTGCAGCATATTGCTCAGTAAGTATACCTTTTTTGCATCCACGAGAAGTGCACAAAATTAACCAATGACAATTTCCAGAATAAGCAGATTACCGGCCGAAATGTCAGTCGCCTACCAACAACTACTCTAACCCAAATGTTGCAATATATACAAACCAATGACAATTGCCACAATCTTCACATAGCAATAGAAGAGTTTCTAGTTGAGATGGCTAAAGAATTAGCAGGTGAAAATCTATAGAACTAGTATTCGTCTAGTGGTTGAAAAAAATCACGTGAACAAAACTTTGCCCAATGAAAAAGCTGGAAATCCAATTACCAAAACAGCACAAAAGTTAATGGCTTACAACAAAAAATTCAGTTGTAAGGTTATAATATTATATTTGGGATAATAGATTGAGTACAACGTCCAATATCCAATTCATTGCTAGGATGATTCATAACTTAAAGACCCAACAGCGTTCTTTAAGACGTGGGTTGGCTACTATTGCAGATGCAACCAATCCAAATAGAGTTTATGGTGGATTAAAAGATCAAGATCGTATTTTCCAAAATGTTTACAATAAGTACGGACATGACTTGAAATCGGCCCAGAAGATGGGTGACTGGTATAAGACCAAAGAAATTATCTTGAAAGGGGACAAGTGGATTATTGACGAAATGAAAAAATCAGGTTTAAGAGGTAGAGGAGGTGCTGGATTCCCTTCTGGTCTTAAATGGTCGTTCATGAACCCTCCAGGATGGGAAAAGAATCCAGGCCCAAGATACTTAGTTGTCAATGCGGATGAAGGTGAACCAGGTACTTGTAAAGATAGAGAAATTATTAGAAAAGACCCACATAAGTTGGTTGAAGGGTGTTTATTGGCCGGACGTGCTATGAATGCCACTGCTGCTTATATCTATATTAGAGGTGAATTTTACAATGAAGCAGTTATTTTACAACAAGCTATCAATGAAGCATATAAAGAAGGATTAATCGGTAAAAACGCATGTGGATCCGGCTACGACTTCGATGTGTACATTCACCGTGGTATGGGTGCTTATATTTGTGGTGAAGAAACCGCATTGATTGAATCTATTGAAGGTAAGGCCGGTAAGCCAAGATTGAAGCCACCATTCCCAGCAGGTGTTGGTTTATTTGGTAGACCATCAACTGTTACCAACGTTGAGACCGTCGCTGTCGCTCCAACCATCTTGAGAAGAGGTGGTGACTGGTTTGCTTCTTTCGGTCGTAAGAACAACTCTGGTACCAAATTATTCTGTATATCCGGTCACGTCAATGAGCCATGTACTGTTGAAGAAGAGATGTCTATTCCATTAAGAGAATTATTAGAAAAGCACTGTGGTGGTGTCAAAGGTGGTTGGGACAACTTATTGGGTGTCATTCCAGGTGGTTGTTCGGTTCCAGTTATGCCAAAATCTGTTTGTGATGATATCGCTATGGATTATGATGCTTTAAGAGATGTCGGTTCTGGTTTAGGTACCGCAGCCGTCATTGTTATGAACAAAGAAACCGATATGATCAGAGCTATTCAAAGATTCTCTGCCTTCTACAAGCACGAATCTTGTGGTCAATGTACTCCATGTCGTGAAGGTACTACTTGGTTACAAAAGATGATGGACAGATTCGTCAAGGGTCAAGCTACTGAAAAAGAAATCGACATGATTTTCGAATTAACTAAGGAAATTGAAGGTCACACTATCTGTGCTTTAGGTGATGCCGCCGCTTGGCCAATTCAAGGTTTGATTAAGTCTTTTAGACCTCTCATGGTTGACAGAATCAAACAATTCGAACAAGAAAGCCAGGCTTCAGTCAGCTACGGTGGATGGGTTAAAGATGGTAAGGTCAAAGAAGGTAAAGTTATTGACAACCCATTGCCATCTGCTCACCATTAGACTAAAAAGCTTCCCGAAGCAACTAAGAAAGATTTTTTTTGATTATTCATGAGCCATATAGTCTGACTGTCATGAGGTTCACTGCATTTTTTTTTATTACAAATATATACATAATTTCCACTACTATTATTATCATTATATTACTTAAACTGTTATATATTATATATTACTTATTCTAAAGTATTTATAAGTTTATATTCCTAATTCAATATTGATATGAAATTGACGTGTAGCTGATTGCGATGACTCGGCAACGGCGAGCCGGAGTTTGTGTCTACATAAAATTTTCATCGGAGTTGTTTTCAGTTACACGGATCTTATCAATACATACACCAGCATTGGCTGATTGAAAAGTTGACAGTTGGAATATCTCAAGATACTTGAATCATATCAGTCCTTTTTCAGTAACCTATAACAGTGATGAAATTAGCCCGATTATTAATATTATCGTCAGTATTATTAGGGACTACCGTGTCCTTAGATAACGGAGGAAATGAAGGAAGTGCAGTAGGATTGGAAAAGAATAGTGATCTTGAAATCTCCAATCTTGACATGAGCAGTGGAAAGGGTGCAGCAAATATTGGAGTGAAGGAGATTGGGGATGATGATAATAACCCTACGCCAGTAAACGCCAAGAGACCATTAGAGCCAATAGTCCAGACAGATCAAGAGAGCACCGGAGAAGACAACCCGTCTTACAATTCATTTTTGATGTCTATTTCGATGATTATAGTATCAGAGATCGGTGACAAAACATTTTTAATTGCTGCTTTGATGGCAATGAGAAATTCAAGATTTATTGTGTTCTCGGCTGCCTTTTCGTCCTTGGCTGTTATGACTGTGTTGTCTGGTATTGTTGGCCATGCATTACCAGCGTTGATTTCGCAAAGACTCACTCAATTCTTAGCATCCATATTATTCATTGTATTTGGGTTTAAGTTACTTAAAGAAGGTTTGGAGATGTCTAAGGAGCTTGGTGTTGAGGAAGAGTTGGCAGAGGTTGAAGAAGAAATTGCATCAAACAATTTGAATAACGAAATGGAAAACATAGAAGGGGGCTCAACTTACAAATTCACAGCTAAGAGTCAAAATAAAAAGTGGTATATTGAATTTGGTGATCAAATCAAAAATTTGGCCTCATTTGTTTTATCGCCAATTTGGATTCAAGTATTTGTAATGACTTTCTTAGGTGAATGGGGTGATAGATCACAAATTGCTACTATAGCTATGGCAGCCGGTTCTGATTATTGGTATGTTATTTTAGGTGCCATTATCGGTCATGGTATTTGTACGGCTGCTGCCTGTGTTGGTGGAAAATTATTAGCTACAAGAATTTCAATGAGAAACGTTACCTTAGGTGGTGCCATTGCTTTCTTTGTTTTTGCTATCTTATACCTTTACGACGCGCTCTATAACACTGAAGCGTAAGACTTTCATTGTATAATATAATACATTATAGATCCATTACATATATACATGAATAGTTTATACCTACAAGAATGTATATTAGTCATTTAAGTTAAGACTCCTTGACACATAAATTTTAAAACTTTATTTGGATGAAGACCATTCTTACCTCCATCGGTTATCTTTAATTCCTCTTCGTATTTCTGGTTTTCTATCCTTTTATTTTCTTCAGTCTCTTTTCTACCTGCTTCAGTATCCAAGTATTCTAGCTCATCTACCGAGTTAAACCCGTAAAACTGAAATTCTTCTCTCAATTCTTCAATCTTAGTTAAACACCATTGAGCAAATTCATCATCTTTCTGTATGTTGACATATTCATTTTTTCTTTTATTTGCAGCACTTTCTATCCATTCATCAACCTCAGGTAAAGGCTTTTTCCTTAATAATGTTGTTATTAAGCCTTCTTGTTGCGTAGTTGGAAACGATGGTAATGGGTATACATTTGTATTTTTCAACATCTCATCGTTATTATCTAAATCTGACGTTATTGTATGCAACTGAGTTAACAAAACTTGAAACTGATTCTGGAATTGAGCATAATTTGGAAGCTTTACTTTATTGGGGTGTCTATTATGATGATTGATTTGGTCTGATAGTTTACGAAGCGATAAATGAACTTGGTTTAGGCGATTCCGTATAGATTCCAAGGTGTCTATAGGTATCTGGGATGTGTCTATTTCAGGGGCCAGCGTCGTGCTTGCATTAGCATAATGGGCCGAATTCATTGTTGTGTAGTTGGTCTTGAAGTAGTTCTTCAATAGGCTCTTTACAGAAATATGTGGTTAATATGGCTATTACACAAAATCATATTATTTATTGAAAGCTTAATATAGTGAAATACTATTAAAAAGAGCTATACCAGCAATGATAAGGCAGAACTATAGTCTAGCTAATGAACTCAAGAGTAAGGAGAGAAAACAACAAAGCAAAGTCCAACAACGACAAAAGCGTCAGTTTAAAATAGAAAAACTTTCTGCTGCAGACCCAATACGGATTTTCAGACAAATCGAAAGGCTAGAGCTGAATCAGGAGAAGACAGACAGAGATATACTGTATTTAAAGAAGCTAAAAGAAGATTGGGAGTTTATAAAAGAGAATGGCCTTCATAAAGCGAAGGTGGAATCATTTTTAGCACAGAAAGAGCAAGAAGAAAAGACAAAAGCGAAAGCTAATAGCAAACTATGGGGGCTGAAGTCTATATACTTTAATCCTGAATTAAACCCCCTTGGTAAAGTTCCAGGAGACAAATTACTGGAAAAACCTATAATTCAATTACCAAATCATACAAAACCTTTAAAGTCGCATGTATATACCAAGTATTCTAAGGATCCGCTAATTGATAGATTGGAAGTTGTTTTACCCGAAGGAGAGCCACCAAAGTTCTACAAAATGGTTCAGAATACTCAGCGAAATAATGCTACTAGTAACATTTTGTCTTCCTCAAATGACGTTCCAAATGTCACGGATGTTATACTGTCAACTGAAAAAGCTGTGAACATGCTCGTTCCATCTGCCATTCTTAAGAAATCAAAAAAGAAAGAACTTGACCATGACGATAGGGATGATGACTATGACTATGACAATGATTATGCACCAGAAGAAGAAGAATACTTGATAGCAATTGGTAAACTTCCTTCGAAAAGAAGTAGAATCAATTAGCACATTTCAAACTACAAGACAAACTTTATTTATGCATACTTTATTAAGGAGATATTATACATATATACAGAAGGGTAATATTTATAGACAAGGATGTTTGCAATAAACATATCAAGTTATGTACAAGTAATATGTTGATTAATTAGGATAGCAATCTAACGACAATTTCCCAAGTTCCAAACATAATAATAGAATTAGGAACAGTTCTCAATAAATGAGGTGTTAAACCGCCATATATACTTGCAAGACCTTCTTCCTTAATGACTAATTTGAAACATTGTATCAAACCTGTATATTTTGGTTTGCCAGTAGATTCCAATGGAGCTTGTCTTAAACGAGTTCTAACAACCTCATGCGGATATGTTATCAATGAAGCAATAAACTTTGCAGCACCGGCCGCACCAGATCTTGCAGACCACTCATAAATATAATCTCTTGTAGTTTTATTCTCAGCCCTCAATCCATGAGCTTCAATGGATCGTTTATTGATGATAGATTTCATCTCTTCATAGAGAACCCATTGTAATGTAGATTCAACGCCACCTAAATAGGATGCGCTTAAACCTTTATAAAGACCTTTGATTCCCTCATGTCTCACCACATTCTTGAAGCAATCCCAAGAATTTTTGTAGTGCTTCCCTTTAGATTTGTCCAATTGCAATCTTGTCTTGATTAACCAAATAGGGTTTGTGGCAGTGGACGTTACAAACCCTGCATTGATACCCGAGACTAGGTGAATCCATGTTTCTTCTTGACCGTTGTTGAAATTAGAAGAAATGAAATCCTTAGTGGCACCGTACGTGAAGAAATTAATAGATCTGGCAGGAATTACACCTACCAAATTTGGCCCTAACCCTTTGAATAATGCCCTGGTACCTTCATTGACATACAAATCTCGAATAACAGTACCAGTTTCCTTGAAATGTTGAGCTGCTTTAATGACTGGGTTTGATGATTTCGGAGTTTTATTATATATTGAGTGATAGACATCAGATTGTAACCTTGTTTTAACAACATCTAATGGACAGGTGGCCACTGCACCAACCATACCACCTATACCCCCAGCAACAAAATGGACCCATGGTTTAGTTTGTGATTTTGGTTCATTTTGTCCTTTAGTGTATTCGAGTCCTTCTGGGTTTCTTATAGTAGAGGACTTCTCATCGGAAGCAAGATATGGAAATGATGATTTTGCATCTTCCTCTAAATTATGTATCTTTTCATTTCTGGAACTTCCCATATTTAAACTTTAAAATACCTTCACGGTTCTAGTATTCCAATGTTCTTTTATTGTGGATAGTGTTTTGGTTTATATCCCATCCATAGAGATAATTTTCAGTTAAAATAGAAATATCAAAAAAAAAAAAAAATCCTCAAAATGACTGTGCGGCGTAATGATATTCTTCTTCGCAGGTAACAAACTATGGAAAGTATTACTTCTAATATATTTTATCCTATATAAATACTATGGTACAAAATAAACAGATCGTTTATTATTTAAGTGTTTTAATAAAGTTGTCAAGATTATATTCATCTTCATATTGAGATTCGTCCCATAAGTCAGCTAATTCTCCGACAGCTCCTGCTGCTTTACCAGTAAGACCACCAGCAACATCCTCTGGAACATTACCTTCCTTCTTTTCTGCGTTGTTTTCACCATTTTCTACCAATTTTGCAGCATTTTCGTCAACGTCAAATAGATCTAATAATTGATTAGTATCCATCGATGCCAAACCAGAATTTTGTTGGTTAACGATTGTAGAAGCAATATTCATTTTGAATTTTTGCAAACCCATAATCTTTTCTTCTAACGTATTCTTGGTAATCAATCTGTACACGTTAACAACCTTCTTTTGGCCTAGTCTGTGGGCTCTATCCATGGCTTGTAAATCATTCATTGGGTTCCAATCATGTTCAACGAAAATCACAGTATCTGCACCTGTTAAATTAAGTCCTAAACCACCAACTTTAGTCGTCAAAAGTAAAACGTCAATAGATGGATCTTCGTTGAATTTTCGAACGATTGACTGCCTATCTCTTGGATCCGTACTACCATCAAGTCTAGTGTAGGTAACTGAAGGCAAATATTTCTTTAAAAGTTCATTCTCAACTATATCCAACATGTCCTTCAACTGACAGAAAATTAACGCTCTATGCTCTGAGATAACACCTTCAGATGAGATCATTTGTTGTTGTTTTTGCTTTTGCTTATAATTTGCAGACAAATAATCACTGTCGTTAGCACCAATACCACATTCCAACAATAAATTTTTCAAAGACATCAATTTTGGTGAATGCTCAATGCTTCTGATGTCAGATTTATGGGACTGTAAGTATGTGCTGACTTCAGCAAATTTAGGGTGATCTGGGGAAAGAACTAAAGCAGGATGATTACACAACTTTCTCATGTATTGCAAAGCTTGGAAAACATGGGTTTTACCTTCTTTTGCTTCCTCACCTTCATTCTTAACTTCATCTACAACGGTAGACTTTTGCTTTTTAGCAAAATCTTTATATAGTTGCTTTTGTAAATCACTCAATTCACAATAGTAATCTTGAATAATTTTTGGTGGCAAATCAGAAAGCACATCCTCCTTAAGACGACGTAACATGAAAGGCAATACCTGCTTGTGTAATGACTCCAATGCCAAAGCACCGGCTTCTTGTTCCTTGGAAGATGTTTTACTGCTTCTACTAGTTGCAATCGGCTTAGCAAATTTTTCATGAAATACTTTTTCAGTTCCTAAAAATCCAGGCATCAAGAAATCGAATAATGACCATAATTCTAATACATTGTTTTGAATTGGTGTACCAGAAAGTATAAGTCTGTGTTCACCTCTAATTCTTTTAACAGACCTAGTTAACTTAGAAGCCGCATTCTTAATAATATGACCCTCATCTAAGACACAATAATTGAACTCATGGTTAGCCAAAAACTCAACATCATTACGACAAACATCGTAGGAGGTAACAACAATATCCGCATCAGGTATTTGTGATCTTATAGATGTTCTAACTGACGGTGCTCCAGCATATACGATTACTTTCAAAAATGGAGCGTATTGGTTATACTCTTGCTCCCAGTGTCCTGTCAATGAAGGAGGACAAATAATAATGGAAGGAAGACGTCTGAACTCAACAGATTGAGTTTTCTTAAAACTTTCTGCTCTCATGTAATGATCTGAAGCAACTATACAAATCGTTTGCAAAGTTTTACCAAGACCCATATCATCACACAAAATTCCGTGCAAATGATATTTGTTCAAAAATGCTAACCAATTTACACCTTCTTGTTGATACTTCCTCAATGTTGCTTTAATACTCACGGGCAAATCGAATGGTTTGACCTTAGTAGGGTCCATCATTTGTTGAATAAAGTCTCTTTCTCTATCCCTACCTTCTAATAATTCTTGAGGCATATCAGCAGGGTCAGGGATACCAGCTTCTAAAGGAACCAATTTAATAATGGAAGCAAAAGTGGTAGTAGCTAAGATACGAACATCTTGATCAGAATCACTCATTCTTCCTAATACTGGCACGATCAAGAACACGATATACGGCAATATATCAGACCCCATAGTGCTTGAGAGATGATAAATACTTTCAATTGCCCCTTGCCTTTCTTTAACTTCCCCAGCATTATTTAACATGGGTAAAATTGACTTAACTAAAAACGTAAACGCCTTTGTCGGACAAATTGAAGATATGGTTGCAAAACACTTAGCTGTCGAATAACGGAAAACTGAAAAATCAGAGCTTAAACCTGGTATTAACAACGGCAACCTATCAATAATGTCTGGATATAACGAGCTATCTAATTTAGGAAGTAACGCACGCAATACCCCTAAAGCATCAATAATACTTTGTCCCTTTAATTCATCTTCTATTACTTCATTTGTTGAAGAAATCTTCAATAAATTCAAAGGCTCGAGCATTAGTTCTTTTAATTTTGATACTTCTTCAAATAATTTCGATTTATAAATCTTAAGTAATGCTTCTAATGTCATAAGAGCTCCATTACGCTTTATTCTAGCTTCATGTATGGCACGTTCATGAGCTGCAATATCAGCAGGATCGGTTTTAGCTTCTTCTTTCCTTAAAGACAAAATATTATCCTTAAACTTAATATTGTGATAAAACTCAGGAACTTCAGAAGTATCCACACATAGAAAGGCACATAAATTTTTAACAATTTTGTCAGCAGCTCCCTTTTTACCAGCTGTATTCAACTCCTTGATTAGATGTGCTACGGCAATTGCAGATCTTTGTTGCAAGATTTCAGACTCTTCTTGTTTAACGCTATCCATAAGTGACCTGATGATTGGATTTAACTTCTTTGGAATACCATTCAACGCAAGTACAGCTGCAGCATAAACAGAGAGTATTCCTGTCGTTCTATGAGTACGTGCAATATTGGCTTCATCTATAGCAACAGTGATGCGGTGCTTAGCATCTTCAAGGGTTTGATTGGCACTCATTCTGTATGTTGGAGATAAATGCTTCATTAATTTCTGGAAAGTTTCATTAACAATCTTTTCAGCAAATTCAAGCCCAAAAGCTCCAGGACCAGCCTCATTCTCACCTTGAACTACTACTGGCAATTGTGGGATCTTTGTTGGTGACACTTTAGCACTTGTAATAAATGCATCAAACATTTGTAAGCAGGATGTTCTCACAGACTTTAACGTAGGAACCAATTCACGATAGTATGGTAATGTGGAGTTATCAGGATTGGACAATACATTCATGAGTGGATCTTGGAATAATGCTATGGCTGTTTCTGAGGGTGGTTTGTCCCTAGACTTCAAAGAATTTGCATACTCTTGTATAACTAGAGCACTAAATAAGCGCGGAGTAGCATGTGGCGAGTTTAAATAATGCAACAATAATTGGAAAATATTTTGTAATGTTTCCTCATTAGTAATATATGATAAAGAATTACCATACGCAGTTGCAGCCTCACTTCTAGTTCTTATGAAAGTATCAATGCCAACTAACATAACATCACCTTTGAATATCGGAGCATCTATGTTAACTTTCAAATCATCTAGGAATGGAAAGTCAGATTTTACCTTTGGTTCGTTAGGTGATTTTCTCTTTCTACCACGCTTTTCGATGCCATTAGGTTCTAATGGATCAAGGCTTGCATCATCTTCAATAGGAGTTGATACTGCTGAGCCATCCTCAATCGAGCCAAGAATATGTCCAGAAGGTCTCATTATCAAATTTGTATTCATATGATAGTTGTGTCTTGCAATTCCAATTGGGGTCATGAGCAATGTGAGCAATGGTTGAAAATGAGCACCAAATATAGTCTCCATGGATTCTAATTCATCGTTTTGATGAATTTCCTTTAGCAATTTGTTATAAACTAATACAGAAAGCTCCAAAACACTCCTGTTTTGCTCGACTAATAAATTCTGGAAAATTAGCCTCAAGGCCTTCGAATTAATCCATTTTTTAGTCACATTGCTGTCAATCGATAAAAACTCAAGAATCGTTCTTAATACTGCTTTTCTGACATTTGTGATCGAATGTCTGAAGAAAGGAAACAATCTTGGAACCAAATATTCGAATGAGTTTGCATTGCTTTCTATAGCATCCTTTTGCATGATTGCGATAACTTCTTTGTGAGTACATAACTTCGCCAATAAATCCATCACAGATCCAATTGATGCAGACAAATCGTCTCTCAAGTTCGTCAAACAGTCCCATATAACACTTAATAAAGTATGAATTAGTTCCTGTTTCGTTTTAACAAATTCTGATGCAATTGGTGTTAATGTCAAGGCTGCAACTGACTGAACATCGTCATCACTTTCTTTTAACCCATGCAATACCATATTTACTACTGTATCCAAGGATTCGGGTCTCGACAACAAGACATCAGTTCTAACACTAACAAAGTATCTCAAACCTAACATCCCTCCATGCTTAGCTTCCCAACATTTAGGTACTCCTAAATCATTGGTATGTTCTTGTAGCACTAATTTGTTTAAACTATCAAAAGTTCGAAGTACAACATGATCATCTAAATGAATTAATAATGCTGCTAAGGTTTGCGCACTCGATTCTCTGACCGGTGCTACGACTGTATCAGAAACATAATCACCAAATCTATCAAGAGCAAATAATGTACATAATCTTACGGCCAAATCTTCCAAGGTAGCAGAATTGTTGCGATCATTCTCTTCCCTTGATTTATTCATGACTCTACCAGCACCCTTCCCATGTTTCCTAATTAACTCACGTAAACCCAATGCAGACCCGTGTCTTATCTCCCATTTTTCGTTGAATAAATCGGCTACCAATAATTCATAGACTCCCTGAAATTGCCATACTAATCCGGCCACTTTAGCATGTTGAGATAACAAAGGAGACAACTCCGGAGCTTTTGTTTCAAATACCAATTTCTCACCACCCTGCTGGGATGTGATGTCGTATTGTGCGGGGTCTTCTTTGATTTCGTTAGTACCTTCACCATTTTCTACTAACTTTCTTGAGATTGAACTTTGAGAAATATCCACAGGCTTTACTCTCACAGCACTTGATTTTGCGTTTACCTTTGCTCTTCTCTTTTGCATAGCCTTCAATCTCGCATTAGACGCAGTTCTTGAAGCATCTGGGCGGGGTGAGTTTGAATCTGAGTTATCATTTGAGACTGTTACGGCTTCGACATGTTCAGGCTTCACTTCAGGCTCAGGTTTCACTTTGACTTCTTCAACAGGCGTAATATTACTTTTTTGTTTCTTCAACTTACCAATGAACGAGCAATCATCTCCCAAATGAGGCCCTGTCCCATTAGAAGGCTCGAATTCATCGGTTCCACATGCTAATAATTTCATATTGCTCTTTAATATTTCGTGGAGGTTCCACGAATTGAAATCAACCAAATTTGATAAATTATCATCGATTTTTTTCAATTCTTCATCCTGCTCCAACTTTATGCGGCTGGCTTCATCCAACTCTTCGATTTTAACAATTGTTTCCTCCTTTTCTTCGAATTCATGTTCCTTTTTAATCGTATCAGAGCTGTTTGGGTCCCAGAGTTCTGAATGATTAACAATACCCCCAAAAGCTCTTGCTGCCGTAACTCTTGTTTCCCATTTAGTCGATTTTAGGTAGGGGTAAACTCTTCCAAGCAAATTGATCGTCTCTTCCGGGTGTCCTTTAGCTAAGTCCGATAGCTGATCCGCTGCAGTATTTCGAATAAACGGCGTAGAACCCGTCTCCAATAACACCACTAATCTATCTAACCGAGACATATTTGTTTATTGATTGGTTGTCCCCTTTTTTATTCAATATTTCTTTGCCTCTATTTGCTTCTATTTCATAGACAATGATCTGGTAATATACCTATTAATTATCGAAAAAGAAGGGTCAAAAAAACTATTTCCAATAATTCAATGAATAATCACTTGTAATCACTTAGAAAATCAATTCCTTTCGAAGGCTACGATGTTTATATTTAAATATTTTAAATTTTTTGCAAATCTGTTAGTACATTTTTAACAATCGCTTGGAGCGATATCGTGTTGTATTTATATCATTGCAGCTTAAACCAATTTTTTTTAAAATTGGGATTTTGTGTAACGGGAATATTTTGTTATATGTCAATAGGTAATGTATTCTAACAATACATTTCCATAATATAACAATCCTCTCTAAATTACATATGACGCTTGGTTTATCTGTATGTTGATCATACATGATCTGATATATTTTTCTGTTTAGATGTAACAAGAAGACGATCGAATTACAGCTTTATTTACATTAATAGCAAGGGACCTGTGAACACGCGTATATTACAAAGGTCATGGCAACCTGATCGTCAGAAGGAAGGTCGGTAGGAGTGCTATACGCTAAGAGTATAAATAATAAAGGCATCGTGTATTATTAATGATCATTGGCTAGTATTATAGAGGGACAGCAGGTGTCAGGAACGAGAACCGGGTAACATAACACGAGATGCTCCGGGTAACGTAACAAGCCCTTCAAGCAAGCTGTCCATTATATATACTAGTGTTGTAAGAGATGGATGGATATAAGATCTATGTAAACTTCTTCTCTCTCTTAGTCTTGACCTCTGTTTTCAATTGATCGATTTCGTCTTTTGTTGCGTTGTATCTGATGTTAGTGTCTTGGTTCATAGGATTTTCTGGAGACTTTTGGAATTCCTTGAAGATCAAGTTCTTCATCTGTTGTAATCTTAAACCTGGCTCCTCTTTTCTCATCTCTGGAAGTCTTCTTTCTTCGAAGGCAGCGTATGCAGCCTTGACTCTTCTTTCTGGGTGCTTATCGATATCCTTACTTTGAACACCACCATCTCTACCAGTCAATGCCAACGCAGATAAAGCATCATCAATACCACTGGCACTCAATTCTGGAGTGTCTTTGTTGTCATTCAAGAAATCATCGATTTTACCTGTTCTTCTTGACGCAACCTTAGCAGCACCTCTTTGCTTAGCAGAAAGTGGTTTGGCAGGTAATGATGCCTCTTCCGCTTTTAATAAGGCTTCTCTTTCTGCTTTCTTACGAGCTGCTTCTTCCTTTTTAAATTTGTCGTCTTCCTTTTTCTTATTTGCCTTTTTGGAACCTTGGTCCCATTCAGCAGCTTCTTGAGATTCTAATAAAGCTTCTTGCGCTTGCTTCTTTTTGTTGGCATTTTCGGCCTTTTTAGCATTTCCTGCGGCTTTCTTAGTGTTTTCGCCTCCCTTCTTAGCCATTGTTAATTATATTTGTATTTCAAAGGAATATCTTTAACGGTAGGACCAGAAATATTCAGGCTAGCTTCGTCGAATTTTGATCCGATTAGCGGAATAAAACTCACGTGAGTTGTCCTTTGATTGCAAAAAAAATTTACCATTACAGTGGTGAAGGTTAAGATAATTGTATAATATAATTTCAAAATATTTTTAAGTAAATAAATAAGAACTAAATACTTTACTTTTCACTATTTGTATAATTTTCAAATAACCAATATATTCATTATATTGGTCATGACCCTAAGAATTTGACATTGAAACTACCAAATATATTTCAAATGACAAATAATATGCTAGTTTTTAGTCAGGGAAATCATGAATTGTTTAACCCGACTTTTGCTTCTTTGAGACTGGTTCTTCAGTAACGTCCTTGTCACCTTCAGCCTGTGCTTTTAATAAAGGAGTTGACAAGTCCGCATGGTAATCCTTGATGATAGAATCGACATCATCAATGTTCAATTGTCTAACATCACCCATTATCTTAATCTTAGCAGTGACTTCTTTACATTGTTCGTCAGACAAGTGCAAGTTCAATTGATCAACTCTTGATTTGATAGCATTCCAACCGGTCAATCTGTTAGCGAAATGGATATATCTAGTTAAACCGAAATCAGATGGGTTTAAAATTTCGTATGTAGATGGGTTGGCTAAAATGGCCTTAGCATGGATACCGGCCTTGTGAGTGAAAGCACAGAAACCAGTGATTGGGTTGTTGAAAGGAACATTGACTTGAACAGCATCAGCAACCAAGTTTTCTAAGTCTCTTAATTTGTGTAATTTGTACTTGGATAAGACGTAGTCTCTGTCAGCAGTGATCATTCTTGCCATTAAAGCACCTAATGGAGTAATACCATTTCTTTCACCAATACCTAAGACAGAAACATCAATCAATTTAGCACCAGCTTCTAAAGCAGTATAAGCGTTGGCAATAGCACAACCAGTATCGTTGTGGAAGTGACATTCAATATCACATGAGACAACAGATTTCAAGGTCTTGACTAATTCGTAAACTTGTCTTGGGTTAGCACAACCAACGGTATCAGCAATACCAACTCTGTTAACACCAATTTTATCAACAGTTCTATAAATGTTTAATAAATCAACAATATCGGATCTGAAAGAATCTTCTGATGAGAATCTGATTTCAATACCTTTAGATTTGACGAATTCAATCACTTCAATAGCAGATTGAGCGATGTAGTTCATGTCTTTACCGTGGGAGTATTGTCTCAAGAATTGAGAAGTACCAATAACAACATCAACACCGTCAACACCAGTCTCAACGGCAACTCTAGCATCGTCCATATGACATCTAATATGGGTCAAAATTTTGGCTTTTAAACCTAATTTACAAATGGCTTCACAATCACTTCTACTTTGTTCAGAAGCAACTGGGGAAGTCAATTCAATGTAATCAACACCAAAATCATCTAATGCCTTAGCAATTTCGATTTTCTTTTCGGTACTAAAAAAAGCATTGGCGAATTGTTCACCTTCTCTTAAAGTAGATTCGATAACTTCGAATTTATTGACATTCGATAAGAAGTCTGATGGGTTTGGACCATATGGATTTGATTGAACGGACATTATAATTTAATATTACAATTTTATTTAAGTTTTATTTCTGATTAAACAAAAGAATATATAGTTAAGTACTTTTATCTTAGTAATATATTGCTGAAAAATTTTTATGACTAAACAAAAAGAATAAAAAAAAAGTGAGTAAGATTTTATCGGAGTATATGAGTCAGAATTACATATGCCGAAGCTTCCCTAAACAATTTTTCAAAACTCTTACTTAAATTACCGTCAATATATGACTTATATATTTCTACTGATATATCATACGTATTTTACATGTTTTAGGTGCTGTTGTAGTAGCTAGATCTCTATCTTTTCTAATCAGTATAATTTGGACCCCAGACGGTGAGTCATAATCCAAATTGCTAAATTTACTGCGCTTCGATTCATGCGAAAGAAAAAAGCAAGTATAATTTAACTAAAAGAATATATTCTTGACTATATAATTACAAATTTAAAATACACAGTAAACAACAAAGCATAAATACTAAATAGGATTTGTGACCATCTTTACGAAGCGAAATATTTCCAGTTTTAATTTGAGTAAGTCAATATTTTTGACAACCAATTTACCATTCATTCTAGTTACTATAGTCTTCACAATAGTATTAAGTTCACTATTGGACATGCCACTTATGGCTGACCAATTCTTCGTAATGTTTTCTCTAGACAAGGCTAACTTGAAGCAACCAACAATTAATTTCTTCAAGCAGAAATCCATTTCATTGTAGTTTGCAAAATTGTTGGACTGGTTCAAGTACCTCAATAAGTAAATGATATCCATATATCTGAATAAGTAGATTATGCCTTTCATAAATAAAGGCAACGATAATTGCAATCTATTAGTCAAAATAAGTAAAAACCTGTCTAATGGAAGCTCCGAGGAGCTTGGAACTGATGGGGACTGAGGTGGAAACGAATTGGTGATTTTGGTAGCAATATACTTCACAACGATAGTCATCAATTGATTCCTTTCATTTCTGAATTGTTCTTTGGTCAACTCTTGTTTTTGGTTGTTTACTTCTGGTACTTGGACCAGCTTCTTCATGTCTCGTTTAACTTGTTCGGCCGCAATGGAAGCTTTCACGCTCGCATCGCTTTCGTGGCCATCCACAGACTGAGTGTTACAATCTTCTCCGTCCGATACATCTTCGCTATCGGAAACAAGTAAAGGAACATCTTCAACATCATCATTATTTATCAACTTTTGTGTGGCCGATGTATTTTCAACATACTGGTTAACTTTTAAAATACTGTCCATCGGATATGGCTTCAAAATGGTATTTGTAGGAATGGTAGACTTAGATGAGTAATCATTATCAACAATGGTAACCATTTTTAAGCTTTTGCACTTTAATCAATCGTAGAACTTCTGGTTTCCAGTAGACCAAAAAAAGTACCGTTCAATGGATTTCAAGTAATTTAGGCAATATATCAAACAAATAAAAACCTTGTTGCTTTATCAATTTAATCCGTGTAAAGCAACCCAAAATATAATATATCAAACTGTACAAAAAGGTAAATGTATAACTAATCAACAATTACACATTAAAAAAACATCTTGGAAACTCTGATAATATACTGTGGAACTAAAACTTAAAATAATCAATTATAAATGTGAATTATGGAATTTTTTATCAGAATCTAATCAGTTGATGATCAAAACTTATCTGAAGTAATGTTGAAATATTGAATTACCAGTTTGATAGATATTCTAAACACCCTTTTATATTATATAGTGGCAATAGAAAAGAAATAAAATATCTGAGTTTATTTAGTGCATCCCGAGAAATAGAGGTTGACTCATTCTGAAATTTTTTTGAGGAGCCGAACACCGGCAGTGAGGTTTCTCACGTTTGTAAGGCATTTTTAATTTTCCAATACAGGGCTATACACTAATAGCTATAAGAGAAGCCTGGAATTCCAGAGGATATACCGCTTGGGACAACCTTGGTATAATGCCGGGAATGTAGTTTATTAAAGGTATAATGTAGTGTTAAGTAGTTAAACTGTCTGATAATATGGTGTGTCCTGCACACTATCCGATCCCAGATTTATTTGGTGTCAAATCAGGACCTAATGATTACAATAGTAAGTAGTTGAATTGAGCCGATTTTACTGTAAACTTTTGGTTTTTGGGGTAGTTTTGTTGTTAAAAGCATCTTCATCGACTCTTGTGTATCTATCAAGAAACTATTACGAGACACGCCGGTAGGTTATTTTATCCATGAGTGAATCCGACAACAACAAATTGACGCCGACTATTATTAAAGATATGCGGGTACCTACTCCTAGTACAGCTAGTAGAACATACAAGGATGCAATTAATGCATTGAATACGTTACAATCGAATTTTGCGTCTATAGAAGCCATCAAAAAGTTGGGGCCAGATGTAAATAAAAATGAGATGTCCCTTAGAGAGGTTTATGAGTATACCAGAAGGTTAGGGTACCAACCGAAGGATTTCAATCGAATGAATCTCATTCATGTTACTGGAACCAAGGGCAAGGGTTCTACTTGTGCCTTCACAGAATCAATTTTGAACCAGTATAAATCGAGTAATGCAGGGCCAATCAATAAAATTGGATTATTCACCTCACCTCATTTGAAAACTGTCAGAGAAAGAATTAGAATCAACGGCAGTCCAATTAATGAATTAAAGTTTACAAAGTATTTTTTCGAAGTGTGGGACAAGTTGTCTACCACTGAATCGTCGGTAACTGAATTTCCAACCTTGCAACCTAGTAATGTTGTTAAACCTATGTATTTCAAATACTTGACAATCTTATCATTCCATGTATTCATGTCAGAAGGAGTTGATTCTGCTATTTATGAAGTTGGTGTGGGTGGTCAATATGATTCCACAAATATAATTGATGCACCAACTGTAGTAGGAATTTCAAGTTTGGGTATCGATCATACATTTATGTTGGGTACCACAATTGACTCGATCACTTGGAACAAAACTGGTATATTCAAGAAAGGCTGTCCTGCAGTAGTAAGTGATCAATTAGAGTACCCAGAGTCTTTGGAAGTTATCAAAAAGAGAGCGACAGAATTGGGTGTATCAAGATTAGAAATTGTGGACTCCAATTACTTGCCATCCAACGTCAAATTAGGCTTAGCTGGTGATTTTCAAAGACTGAATGCTGCATTGGCCATTAAGTTGGCAGCTACTCATTTGCAGAAGTTGGGCGTGCCACCGAGTGAATTACCTGACTTCGATAACAGTAATACCTTGCCCGATAAGTTTTTAAACGGGTTGTCTGAAACACAATGGAGCGGCCGTTGTCAATTGATTGAAAGAGAAGGCATCAATTGGTATATTGATGGTGCCCATACTCTTGAATCCATTAATGTTGCATCAAATTGGTTCAAATCTACTGTGAATACTAACCATCAACCTAATAAAGGTTTAAAGATCCTTTTATTTAATCAACAGAACCGGGAAAATGCAAATGATTTATTGAAAAAGTTATATGAAAATATAAGTTCTACCGAATTCAAATTTGATCATGTTATATTTACGACTAACATCACATGGTCCGATGGTAACTATAATAGCGATTTGGTTTCTTTAAATAGTTCTAAGGAACAAGTAGATAAGTTGATTATTCAAAAGGAATTGGCAGAAGTTTGGAGTAAGTTGGATCAAAAGAATGGTTATAACTCTCGGAAGCATATCTTTCACGATATTGAAACAGGTGTTAACTTTATCAAGAGTTTAACTAATGATTCACCTATTATCGATGTATTTGTATGTGGTTCCTTGCATTTAGTGGGTGGATTTTTAGTAGTACTTGACAATGAAAGAGACTAAAGACCATCCATCGCTTGTTTCAGTATGTTTCGCTTAATATATTAATTAATTTATATTTA